GCTTGCCCGACACCTGTCCGCGAGTTAGGGTGTGCGCACAGTAGGGGCGGTGGCGGCGCGCCCGTCAGCTTGCCCGACACCTGTCCGCGAGTTAGGGTGTGCCCTCAGTAGGGGCGGTGGCGGCGCGCCTGCAGGCGGGCTAGAGCGCCCGTCAGCTTGCCCGACACATCGTCCATCACTTCGCCACCCTCCGTTTCGCTCGACTCGAACGACTCATCCGATGAATCCATTTTATCCGAGTCGTAGGCTTTATTTGAGACTTCAGTTTTGCTCAACGTTTCCTGTTTATTTGAGTCCGCTGTATCTAAGTGTTCTAGCGGGCCCGACTTTTTGTGTGTAACCGAGTCGTCCGGTTTGTCCGAAACCTTAGACTTATCAGAATCGTCCGAATTAACAGAATTATCCGATTTGTCTGTATCGTCAGACTTGGCGCAGTCGTCAGATTTGTTGCCATCATCGGACTTGTCGCCATCGTCGGATTTATTATCATCGTCGGACCCGTCGCCGTCGTCGGACCCATCGCCGTCTTCAGAGCTGTCGCCGTCCTCGGATCCGTCTTCGTCCTCGGAGTCGTCGCTCTCGCCGGATTCGTCGGAATCACCGGAAGCGTCCATATCGACGTGGTCACCGTCACGTAGGTCGGCGTCGATGCCGGAGATGTGGTCGAGGTCGTCTGCATCATCGAGGCCGGTGTGGTCGGGCACGCCGCGCCACACGCTCACGATGCCCGACTCCCCCGCCGTCACCAGCAGGTCCCTCTGTAGCGCAAATGTTCAATTTTAACGTTTTCATATGAAGCAGGATGCATATTTTGTCTCAACGGGTATTCCTTGTTCCTAGAGTTCATATTACACACCTCAATAACCTGACTATGCCACTATTATGAAACTCAAATACAAGTGAAAAAACTAGATAAAAAGACTAACATCTCGTGTGTTCCATTTTTATAACCCAAGAGGGCAAAGCAGCTGCGCCAAAAACAAAGTATTAATCGCCGCCCATAGTCATCTGCACAGCAAAGACACTGCTGATCCCGAGGCCGGCAGTGCTAGAAGTGGAAGTGGAGGTGGAGGTGGCGTACTCACCGCCTGGTCGTGGTGGCAGCAGCGCACGAGCTGGCGGTTGCGAGCGAAGTTGGCGTAGGGCAGCAGGCGGCCGCCGGCCACCACCAGCGCGCGGAGCGTCTTCTCCTCGCCGCCGTAGGAGCCGGCCAGCAGCACGGGCCGCCCGCCCACCGACGTCACCGTGTCCACCAGGTAGCAGTCGTCCGCGCGGCTCCGCTGCACAACGCACAACCAACCTGCACTCTCTGCCGCATCTCACATCACATCACATCGCATCGCATCTCGCAGCCTGCATACCTTCATGGTCCCGGCGATGTGCTGCCTCTCGCAGTGCAGGGCGCACCGGGCGCTGGCGGTGCTCCACAGCTGCAGCTGGTGCGCCTGCGTGAGGCACGCCACAGCGGCACCACCCACCCAAGCCAGTTTGTCGACGGCGCACTTCGCATTCAGCGTGTGCGTCAGGGCCTCGTCCTCCGTCTGTTCCATTATGTTGAACACGTTCACCAGCCCGTCCACCGAGCCCGTCGCCAGGATCTCCACCTTCTCCTTGTGGAATTTCACCTGCAATAGTGAATATAAACATAGCAGCGCTGACTCGGATCGTGTAAAGAGGAAGTGGTGAGCGGTGGGCGGCGGGTGCGACCTGCGTGACGTCGTCGGTGTGCGTGTTCCAGTAGCCGCCGAGCGGCTTGGGCGCGCGCTGGTCCCAGAACACGAGGTACGCGTCGTCCTCCACCAGCTGGCTGCCGGTGCACAGGACGCGCCCGTTGTACGACACGTCCAAGCACTCGTATGGACGAATTATCTTTTCCTCCTCATCTGTCATACACACAAGTCAACAGTTTTACTATATTAAATTAAATTAAATTGCACATATAATATGTAGCTGTATATAAGGTCTCTTCAGTATCAAAAATTTATCATCATCAGCTCACTATACGTCCCCAGCGAGAGGCTCGGAGCCTACCCTAAGTTCAGGGTGATTGGGCCATAGTCAACCACGCTGGCCAAGTGCAGGTTGGTCGACTTCACACATATCTTTTGGATTTCTTCTCAGATATGTGCAGGTTGCATCACGATGTTTTCCTTCACCGAAAGAACACCGGATAAATGTACATATGTAAATCGGAAATCAAAAAACACATTGGTACATGGCGGGATTCCAACCCAGGACCTGCAGATTGCAAGTCAAGTGTTTGACTCCTGAGCCACCGACGTTTCAATCAAAAATTACTATTAATATATTAGATTACAAAAATATAGATTTTTTGGCAGAGGTAAACAAAGGGCATGAGACTAGTCTGGCGGACAAAGGACAATTTCTTTATAAACCTTTATAATCTAGTACACAGGAGCCACCGGCTCTTGTATCCCACATCTTGACAAGTCCATCTTCAGATGTTGAGAAAAGTATGTTGTCATCATTAGGGTTGAAAACAGTCTCAGTCACCGTCTTCTCATGGCCGCTCATGGAGCACACACGTGACAATGAGCTATCATTAACCTCATATACTTCTATGGTGTTGTCTGGTAGAATTATTGAATACTTTAATGTTCTGAAATTAATAAATTTTAAAGCTATAGTATTGTAGCATGTCTATAATTATTCATTAAACTTTATAGGAAACCACTTAGAACGAGAATCAAAAGACTTAGTTTGGCCACAGTCTCTTCGCTCAGACACATGTGCATGTTAGCTGTCACAGGCTACATCCTGGCCTGTGCTACCTCTCTGATAGTGATAACTAATAAATAATTAAATGTTCAAATTGGTGTATTCACTTAAACATTTTAGCACAATACATGGCTCCATAGAGACCATATTGAAAGTGTGTGTAGATTTGACAGATTTATGCGCATTTAACGACACTTGCTGGAGACTTTTAAATATGTCCCATGATGCACACATCAACATAGAATTTTATACATTTATTAGCTTATATTATGACTTTTGACAGTATAGTTAGAAGAATCGTGAAGATATTTAATTTAGTGGTGTACTAATTACAAAACTGATCTAAGGTTTAAATCAACAATACATAGAGTGTTATTTATGAATTCGGCACATTTATGTTGGCGAGACTTTTGGTGAATGCGCGCAAGGGTTATAACGTTGTCTTGATAAACAAATTTTAAATTGGTCAAAATAACTTACTTCGTGCCGCTTATTTTGTTGATATAAGTTTTCTTGAGTGACACTTCTATTTCGGTCATTAAATCATATTTTTTTGGAAATTGTTCTTCCAATTCATTTTCCTCCACTGTGTCTTTATCTGCTTCTTCGTTTTCGAATATATCCATTTTAGTATCTTATTATTATTTGCAAAAGAGAAACTAATCTCATTAATATAAAAAAAAGAATAAAGAGGTTTTCATAAAATTGCTAAAAAGTATAATAAAAATAAATAAGAGGCGGGCGGTCAACGGAACATGGTTCTTCAATATATTTTGTATTCAAGTTTTCGAGCAAAGAGCAAAGATTTTTTTTTAATTTTATGACCTGGTAACATAGACCTTTAGGTCAAAAGAGCAAAGTGTTATAAAATGAGCAAAGAGTATGTAACTATAGTGTGTCTATTTAAGATAGATTAATTTGACAATTCACTAGAGAAAATCGTTTTTGAAAATTTTCGATTTTCGATGGTTGTTTTCATAGAAGTTGCAATCGAAAATTTGGTGATTATTGTTTTTGATCAAAGAGTATGTAAAATTTTTGATTTACAATATAAATAAAATTGTTTCTTTTTATTTATTTATTTACATGGTAGACTTACAGCTAGAAAGTGACAATAATAGACACAAGATCGTTAACATAATATACGACCGCAGCGATTTGGGATCGATTTTTTATATTATTTAGTTTGGTTTAGTTTTAGTTTATAGTATTATTTTGGTAGATTAATTTTAATTTAATTAGTGACTTAATAATTAATATAGAGTTAATATAATAGCTATTTACAAGTCTACACTTATAGCATTGGCTTAAATAATTTGACAGTCAGCATATGAAATATAAATGCCAACTTCTTCAAAACCACGTAGAAAAATAAAAATTACACCAAAATTTGAGATGTTGAATAAAAAGAACTGTTTTAAATGTATTTTTAGTTAATTGCGCGAGACATAACTAAATATCTGTAATAAATTCTAAAAATAACAAAATTCATATGTTTTAGTGTTTATTTGTTCGATAACTATTATTACAAGACCGATTATCGATAGTTCATAGTTGTTCTTGATGCGCTTACGGTCCGACACTATGACAACCGTCCAAGAAGCGCAACATTAATCCTCATACAAAATTAATACAATACCATATAGGCGTCAGTTGTGAAACTAATCTATCTTAAATAGACACACTATAGTCTACTAGAATATTTGTAAAAGGTCCTCCGCTGTGCGGGCCCAGCCTTATGTCGAGGGCGAGGGCGAGGGCGAGGGCGAGCGCGAGCGCGAGGTCCCACGCGCTCGATGTGGCCGGCCGCGAGGCGCGCGAGCACCGCGCGTAGCGGCCGCGGCGCCAAGTTGTCCAACGCGGACGTCTGGTCCGAGAAAGCCCAGCGAATGTTACGCTCCATGCGAACGTGATCTGTTACACACATTTATATTACACTAGCTGCGCCCGCGACTCCGTCCGTGCGGGATTAAAAATAGACGTTGGCCGATTCTCAGGCCTACTCAATATGCTCACAAAATTTCATGAGAATCGGTCAAGCCGTTTCGGAGCAGTATGGGAACGAAAATTGTGACACGAGAATTTTTTATAAAAGATAACATCCAAAATTCTCCTTCGTGGTACGATAGACTGGGTGTCATTATGTTTCCATCTCAATTCTCGAACTTTGAAACGAAATAACGACCAGTTTGTAATTTATTTTACTTTAAATTAAAAGCTCTTCGATAACGTTACGCACAGAATATTATTTTAATCCATTGACCGCTAGGAGCTAGTTGTAGGACATCGAGTAACATCTTGGATAATCAATTCTGTACGACATCGTTTTTTTTCGTTGAGTCATCATGTAGACGTATTGAAATGACACTGAGATCCTCTGTTTGCTCTGATGACGAAGCTTTAGTGAAGAGAGGCACCTATGGCGGGGTCGAGGAGGGCGAAGGCGCGCTTGAGGCTGTCGACGCCGACCATGTGTGCGGCCCCCTCGCCGGCCAGCTCGGCCGCCAGCTCGCGCACGTACTTCTCCTGCGCCTGCTGCCGCTGCCGGAACAACTCGCGGGCGAACTCCAACCGATCAAACCCTTCCTCGTTCTGCTTCAAGAAAATTGCTTTTTTATTTGTTTAATGTTAATCATTGTAAAAATAAAAATGTATGGTACGAAAGAACGGAGCATCCTGTCACAGGTGTTGTATATACTTAAAAGGATGCTCCAACAACTGAAGTATATTTATATGTATTTCTTGGTTAAAATAAATAATAATAATTATTATAAGGTCAATACAGATAGTATATTAGTTGTAAATTGAGAAGCAAAAAGTTAACGTGCTTGTGATGTGGATGACGACAAAGGTACGCGAACACTGAAGAAAGTATGCTTGTATTCCATTAAAGAGGATTTGTGTTAAAAAGGAATCAATTCAGATATGACGGCTGATAGAGATGTATGGTATAGCAGGCTTCCTAGATATAACGATAGGATGATGATGATGATGATGATGATAAGTTAGAAATAACGATACAAACCTCGAAAAATAATTTGTCCAAATTAATAAGGTTCTGGTTGATCTTCATCTTGAGCTGCTTCCTCACGACGTTCGACAAATTCTTTATGTCGACTTCGCTCTTTAGAGGGAAAGTGACTTTCGCCACCTTCTCGAACTCTTCCAATGTGATTGACTTATAAACCAAATAGTATATTACACGTTACGAAGAAAGCATATATGTATTTATTTACGGAAAATATGTGAGAAAGCCGACCTCCCCGTCGCCGGAGCGGCGATACAGGGCCGTCTTCAGCGTCTGGCACTGGTCGCGGTGTGCCCAGTAGAGGTCCTCGGAGAGGCGGCCGCGCAGCACGCCCCAGAAGACGCGCACCTGCGGCTCGTCCAGCGCCTGCTCCGCCGCCGCGCACACGTTGTACGCCCACTCGGCGCGCACCGCCGCCTGCTGGTACCTGAGCGCCGGCGCCTTCACTACCACGTCTCTCTTAAATATTCTACTTACGGAAGGGAAGAATCGACCTCTCCTCGAAGTAGTGCGCGAGGTAGTCCTGCAGGGGCGTGTGACGCGCGCGCTGCGCCTTGCTGCGCCACACGTCGCTGATGACCACGCTCAGCTCGCGACGCGACAGCCGCAGGTTGCGCACCCGCCCCGAGTACCGCAGGTACGGCGGCACCGCTGGGTCCGTGCCCTGATGATGCCCATCATCGATTCGTTACCACAACGACACTCACGACACGTGGAAGATCCGCTTCAGGTAATAACTAGGCTCGACTATAACTTTTGGTTGTTATTGAACGAAGCCGATTTATAACTTAAGGGCTTAAAACGTCTTTACCAGTCCATCAAAATATTCCAAATGGTCGGTGTCTGCGGCGGGGCCCAGTTCGCGCAGCAGTACCACGAGAACGTCCCGCGAGGAGAGGCCCCGCGTCAGCTGCCGCCACCTGCCCACGTCCATTCGCCATCACATAGTCTCATCGTTTGATTAAAGTATCGTCTACAGCTATAAATCATGTTAAACAGTAGAAACGCAGATGAAAGACCAAAATGGTCTAAATACATTTTTGAAAGACAATTTTGGTGCGTTTTCAACGTCAAAACTTTTATAAAAATAATCACAGATAATTGTTGCGTTTATTTTATCGAATGTGGATCCAACCTCTCCCGACCGCCGCCAATGAAATCTGCACACAGTTCCCAGTGCGGCCGCGGAGTGCCCGCCCGCTCCAGCTCGCGACAACGCTCTTTCACTTCTTCCAGCTCTTCTTGCAAGCTATTCTTCTGAGCTGAATATTAAATAGTTGAAGGATAAAATGAGCTAATATTTTTTCTAAAAATTAATAATTTCTATGCAACTGCTCTTCCCCGTGCAGCAAAGGTTTATCAGTTGAATTCTGGCTACGACACAAACTCCGCGAACAGTATGCTCCCCGATTTAACCAGGTCAAGTTCTAGACAACAAGAGTACGGTACTTCTGCGTGAGTTTGTATGTGTGTACCTTGTGTGCGATTGTAGCAGGTCTCGAGAGCGCGGTACTCCTTGCCGGTCTGTCGGAGCTCCTTGCGGAGGTGTCGCTCTCGGGCCTCCAGCGCATCGTAGTCGCGGCGGGGCACGGTGTCGGCGCACTCGTCTGCCAGCCGCGCCAGCTCGCGCTGCGCCGCCGCCAACTGCTCCCTGCTTGTTGTCAACACTACGTCACAATCTTCCCGTAGACGACTGCTCATCATGTTCATCCGATAAACTATATAATTTATTAAATTTGTCACGCTCTAAAATGAAAAGCAGTAACCAAAGCGCCTCTCTACTAACTCACTGAATTATATATAATTATAGAAGTTAGTGGTTACACTTATACTTTTCACTGATGTAGTAGAAATGTTTTCAGATATCTTGGCGGGTCTTAACTACACGCGGAGGGCACTGACCTTGACAGAGCGCAGCGATGACCTTGGGCCGTCACGATATTTGAAAAAGATTATACACAGTTTCAGGTATAGTTATGGTGTTTACTTATTAAAATTATGCTTGTTTCTTAAATATTTCATGACATTGTTTGCTGTGTCGGTAACAGCCTTGATTAAAGTGAAAAGTATAGAAGCGTAATTGGTGTTATTATTGCAAAAAATCTTCATTTCTATTGCGCATGCGACGTGCGGCGTGTGGCGTGTAGCGTGCGGCGGACCTGCAGCGGTCGAGCGCCACTCGCAGCAGCAGAGGGTCCTCGTGGCGGCCTCCGGCAGCGCTGTCTGTCAGCTGCTTCACTCGCTCTTCCAACTGCAACTTCTGATGGTACAGCGAGTAGCGGCCGTCTCGCTCTCTCATTAGCCTCACGTACTCGGAGAATTTTTCTTGTTGCAACTGAGATAATTGTGTTATTGCTGTACTATTTTTACAAATATATTAATAAAAATAGTATTTATATTTATGTGTGTGCCTAAACGAAGAACCATAGAAGGACAGGGTATCGTGTTCTTCCGCCAAATGTCGTTGTGGTGGACAGACAAGAATTGATCGAACTTCTTGATTTTATAAATAAACAACGAGACATTATTATTATTATTCTCAGCATATATTATTTTCTATTTTATAACTCCGATCATAACGTGGTAAGCAAAAAATCGAATCGAAACGACCGCTGTCTAGCCATCGGCAATTGCAGGTGCCTTGCCTATCCTAAACCAACGGAGGGGGGACGCCCAGAGAGATAATATTTACCCTTCCTATGCGTCCACTTTCCGTCAAATCTACTTCCGCTTCCCACCTTTTCCTTATAAAAAAGGAAGGGAAGGAGGACTAAAATCACGATTGGCTGTACCGATCTGGAGGAGAATTGTAACAGAGACTATAGCATACGCAAACTAACTCACACACTTATTTAAATAAAAATAACTTTGTATAAAACATTATAATGCAGAAATAACAGTGTTTATAAAATAAACTAACAAACCATCAAGTGAACAAGGGACTTGTAATGCTGAAACACATAGTTGTCATAGTTTTTTCAGAAACAGTGAAGTTGACAATAAGATGTTTTCATATGAATGTTTCTACAGTGGAAACCCACTGTAATATAAGCAATTAAACATTACAACAAAAACATAACAGGACAACAGATATCAGTTAAATGAATAAGTTACACCAAAAATTTTTTACACCTTCTGGGGAATTTTAATTTTCTTTAAAATCTTTGTTAGTTTTATTGTTTTTTTTTTATTTCATATTGATAAAGGGTTATTGATGATAACATAATAGCTTTTTTTAAAATGTAGCAATATTAGTAGGTCATCGGTTACAAAATTGCCCCAGAAGGTGTAAAATTTTTAAGTTTTTAAAAAATGCCATTTATTTTTTTTAATACCCAGAGGGGAATTTTTATTTTATTTTTCTGGTGACCCTTGTGACCACCCCTATCATCCCCCTTCCTATGCACGTAGCCTTTTGGGACACCCTGTATATTCTTTAATCATCACTGATGACAATCATTGTACAAATACAAAACACTTACACACCTCAAAAATCCTCTTTTTCAGACTCATCATGTCTGAATTTAATTTAAAATTAAAATTTTTTAATTGTGCATTTTCATTTGAGAGCATTTTAACTTCATCAGCTTTCTCTTTCTTTGTCAATGATATTCCAAATATTATCTGCAAAATATAACAGATATAGTTTAGAACAAGTTGTCCAAGTGCTACATTTGTACCTACAGAGAAAATTATTTTATTGTACATAGAAATCATTAAAATATTTATATTTATTTCTTTTAAATAATTTGTTTTAACTTTGTTGTTGATTTTGTTACATATGCCAACTGTCCACTAGTTTTCTTATCTGAGTAATATCAGCTTGGTATGTTCTACAACATCCTCCAATGTACCTTACACCAAGCCTTAACCATTCATGGACAAATTTATCAATGGATTCACTTTTATCTTTGTCTGTCCATCCCATATCTGGGATATATCTCTCTCCCGAGTTAGGGTATGTCACAAAGGGAATAGGTTGTTCTCGGCCTTCATTGATGAGCTTCACAAGGTTAGAAACAATATTAGGGGGGCAGCAGTTAACTCCTACAGCTATCAGTTGAGTCGGATTTGTCTGCCAGCATTGCACAGCAGCCATTTGAAAGTCCTCCCCATGAGCAAGTTTCTCTTCATCTCTACAACTAAAAGAAAGCCAAGCCTTGGCTTTGGGATATTCTTTCAATAGCTCAATAAGAACCCGGGCCTCCTTTAAACATGGTATTGTTTCTATAGCTAGTAAATCCACACCTTCTTCCAACAAAGTATTTATACGAGGGATATGCCATTCTCGCATTGTCTCACTTGATATTTTATCTGCGTAATTGCCACGATATTCAGATCCGTCGTTTAAATGAGCACCATAGGGGCCTACTGAACCGGCTATGAGTGGAGTTGAGTTTAAAAGTGATTGACTATTCTCCTCTAAGTAAGTGTCACAAGCGCGCCTCGCCAATTTCACAGCTAATCTAATCAGTTCCAACGCCTCCTCACTAGACACGCCAAGGTGTTTCACAAAACCTCCCACGGAAGCTTGGTACGTGTTGGTGGATATAATGTCAGCTCCGGCGCGAAGATAATCCAAATGGGTATGATATACGTCTTCAGGATCGGTTTTCAAGAATCTCGCACTCCACAGTGGATCGCCATCTGCATATTTGCCGAAATGACATGAAATCTGTGACGAGAAACCACCATCAAGAACTAACGCTTTATTTTCATTCAATTCCATATTCGCTTAAAAGTTTAATGCTTTACGCACTTTAATTTAAACACTAGGCGTAGGTACTAACTGCGTAGTATAATGTATAGTTGTTATGTTAACTATCTTGTGTCAATTATTGTCACTTTCTAGCTGTAAGTCTACCATGTAAGTAAATAAATAAGTATACTATATTATATAGGACTGAAGCGAGCACGTTCTTGCAAACTATTTGTGTTTGTTTATCAACATCAAAACATTTTGTACGATAAGTGCGATACCACAGCAAGAAAGTAAGTTAAAAGTTAATTCTGTCACAACATAAACCCGGTTTATGTTGTTCCACTCCAGCGGCCGAAACCAACGCTGGATTGCAACTGGAAAAATTTAAATAAGAAAAAAGCTATCAAATATCCCGGGTCACATGTTATGTCAATCATTATGCCATTTACTAACTTCTAATTTTAAGTTAAATAAAGCCTAATAAATGGGTATTATCTATAATATATCACCGTGTATATCAGTCGGAAAATTAGCAAAATCTACATAAATGTAGATCGAAGACGTTTTTTGACCCGGCATCTTTGACAGCTCACTAGCGCCACACTGTTAAAAGTGTCACATAATCCTTGTTGTACTGTAATTCTTTTTTTTTTCAATTTTTGTGCCTGAGCAGGTTTACGTATTTTGGAACAGAACTAGCCGCGATAGCAGAGTCCCTGTCACCGGGCCAAATATCTTTGTTTGACTTTAAGCAAACTTTAACCCACCCTAAGCAACATAGAAAATTACACGAAAGAAGGTGACATGACATGTTACATGACAAGACAGCTAAAAATTACGACAAGGATCTTTTGATACCATTTGATATTCTTTAGGCATAGACAAAGGGGCGTTAGTTATAATAGCTTGTATCATAATTTAGTTTGACGTATATATCCACTGGATCAAAAAACTTTGTCGATCTTAAGCTGTCTTATCTATCACGTAATTTTTAATGCCTACGTAGGTTTTACATACTTTCTGACAAAATTAACCGCGATATGGCGCCTTTCTTACAGGCCCGGATAAGCTTATCGCACTATAGTAGTTTTTCTTTTTTTTACCTCAATACACATCACAACATGTTCATTGTTTATAGTTGCAGTTGAAACACAAAGCTACCGGCTAACCCGATGCTGTTTGGCGAGAATAAATATAAGAAAGGAGTTTATACTCACATCTTGTAAAACGAATTGTGCAATTCGTTCGTCCCTTATTTTTAAGGAATTTTCATACGCAAGTTTAATTTTTCCCAAGACCGTAGAAAAAGTTACAGTATAATCAATAATGTTTTTAAATGCATCTTGATAAATCTGTAAAAACAAGCTGAACGTAAATCGTAGATATCAGTTATGAAATTAATTGAACGTTACAAACCTGAAGCATTTTATCATTGTAATCCTGTATTGATTCCAATAGTTGATTAGGTTCTTTAACTAATTTTACTTTTTCCTCGATTGTTTTTTCAAGTTTTTTAAGAAACTTATTAGTGCAATTTTTATGCATTTTTATTTTATTTAACTAGATAAAGTTAATATACAGTTACTGTAGTGATTATCTAAATTCTACTTGGATAGTATAACAACGTGAACCATGGAATAATAGTATTAAAAGTGAGCCAAAAGGAATGGCCTCTATTGCCACAAGTGAGAAGATTCTGGCCATATTAGTTAAGGATTAGATATGTATTTCAGGTTTTAAATGGTTTAGGACAATCATTGATTTTTTGTGGATTTATACTGATTCGACCAAAGAGTATATAGACCAGTAAAACTTATATGGACATAGACTGTTACAGGCCACAGACCAAAGTCATATTTTATATCGTGTGGCAACATTAGACAGGGACCGCAACATTCATATTGCTATCTCGTTTGGTTTCATTTTATCGGAGCATTTAAAATTAAATCTTAAGCGTGGTGCATAAGGTATATTTCGCTACTACGATTTTTAATGTAGCTTTGTGCTGTTTAATCTATATTGTCCTTGATGTGACGTCACTGACAGACATGAATTACAGAAATTAGAAATGGCTGCGATAGGTAGTGGACGGGGGACGATGGATTCCCAAAATCAAGTGCAAAGTGATACAGAAGATCGTTTAAAATTACTTTATCCGAACGTAAACGAAGATGAGACACCTTTACCTAGATCTTGGAGCACAAAAGATAAATTCAGCTACATCGGGCTGTCGCAAAATAATCTTCGAGTGCATTACAAAGGTAAGGACTCTCATGATTTGTTTATGGGAATTATTTGCTAAACTGTTTATCATTACATAGTCCAAAGCGTCATAATTGTGTTCAGGAAGAGATGAAACGACTACTCACTTATTTTAGAAATACTGACGTGTCAACATTTGGTCCTAGAGTCGAGCGAACTAGTGGCATTCGTCAAACAAAGAAATCAGCTGATCGTTTATTTTGTAACGACACGCGGAAAATACACAATGACCACGCAGAATGATTTCAAATGATTATTATTAACGTTGCGTGTTATCATTATAAATATTTGGTTAAATTTAATAAGAATTAAGCAAAGTCTATCTCCTGTCGAAACACCGGACAAAAGACGCTTTCGTAATAATGAATTCTAAGTGGTATTGCCTTTTTCTATACTAATTAGTATCCAAAGCTGAAAACAATTCATTTAATTAGTACCAATTGAAGTTCTTTTATTTACTTCCATTTGACAATAAACAAAAAAATTACATATTTTAAGGACAAGCTTTAGTAAAATTTGTTTAAAAAAAACTTTAAAGGTCCAATTTGTGTCTTGGAACATTACTTGTCTTTTATTTTCATTGAATGTTTAACTGGACACTTCTCTCACATAGGTTGGTACTTAGCTCATTGTTTTTTTATTACTCAAGATTTTGTGTTTTTAATGAGGTAAGAAAAGCAAAGCATTTATTGGAAAGTCAAAGTATTCATTCAGTATGTCTTGTGTACACTGCATCACCAGTTTTCAATGAATCCTATGACAGGAGGACATAATATAATGACATACAAATTTTATAAATCTTTATGTAATATAACATAGATAATATTATTATATTTAAAAAGTTTTTGATTTTGAATGAGTATTTAACATTGTAAATGTGATTTAATTAGTGTCCCACACTTTTACACACACTCGCTGACATTTAGCTGCTTCATATCTCTGATTATTAACAAACTTAATGTAAATTATGGAATGGTGTGATAAATATACAAGTTTTTCATGATTACACTGACTGATGTAGCAATTTTGTGAAATTATAAATACTTAGCTACAACATTTGAATGTCTCCTAGACCAAGAAAGTTCCTGTTTCTTTGTGCATGCATTGCAAAAAATCCTGTGTTTGAGAATAACACTCTGTTTGTTGTCATAGTGGTAGATAAACCGCAATAAGTGTTACTGCAATGTCATCTATTGTTTTTAACCTCTGAGTAATAAAAAGAACAATGCACTTGTGCATATTGTGATTATTTACAATTCCATGAAATCCATATGAAAAGGGCTGAATACATATGTAATGTATCTCTCATATAAAACTATTTGGACAACTAAACTAAAAGTAACTACTAGAAGTATAAAAAATAGTAATGACATAGATGTAATATTGTATATCTGCATTGAGGAGCATTATGTGTTACAAGGCACATAGTAAGTTGAGAACATTTGTACAATTATTGTTATTTGGGCAACATGTAGTAAGCATCGGTACCACAGCCATCTTGCACTAGGCCACCCAATTTGGCTATGTCCTAAGGTCTCCAAAGTCGGGACAACATTGGGGGACCCTCAGTGGGGACTTATTTATATGTATGAGTTTAAGCAATGTTCACATAACCATTTATGAGATGTGCATAAATTATTTTAAAACATTTACATGGAGACCAATTTTACAGTTATCAAGTAGTAGACCTAAGCTAGTTTGTTTACATTCAGAGGACTGTACTTGACTTTAACTAAATGTCACAAAAAAACGTAAAGTAGTCCACAGAAATAACTGACCCATACAGCCGAGGTGGCATATTTAGTAGATATATGGAAAGTAGTGTAACAGTCGTTTTGAAGTATTATGTGGTATGTGCGGACCATGTAATTGAGAAAGAGCGAAGGCTGCAGACAGACTGTGAGCACACAGCTGTCGGCGGGCGGCGCATCGGCGGGCGGTATCGAGCGGCGCGCCGGTTGTTGACCGCGCCGCTGCCCCGGCCAGACCCCGGCCCGACTGGCTGCACACGACACCGCTCACCCTCTAATTCCATGTCTAGTCGCGTCCTCGTTTATTATTGCAATTCCATTATTTTTTTCTACCTGTTCTTTTGTTCGTTTGCAATTTGTGTTGAGTTTTAATCGATTCAACACATATGTTTTTGGAATAGTCCAAATTGAATGTTAACTTGGATTTAACATCAATAGATTTCAGTAGAAAAATATAATTTAGTGTGTTCGATAATTTTCAAGGAAAAAGTAGCGCTTTTATTAAGAAAAAAGCGATTTAATTTTGAAAGTGAGGTGTCCTGAGTGCGGCCGTGACGCGCGGGCATAGCAGGCAAGCGAGCGAGCAACGAGCCGTGCCGCGTACCGACGGAGGAGCTGTAGCGAGCAACATATTTCGCTTATTCATTTATATATTTACATAAAAAACAATAAAGTCTATTTTTTTAATTAAGTCCTGCGAAACGCGAACCCTAATCTGTAAGTTAGTTCTCTGGTTCCTTTAAAAAGTTGTTTTGATGTTATCGATATTTATTTTAGTGGTAATTATATAATGCACGTTATGCATGCTAAGTTTTGCCATGTACGATAAATAAAAATAAGTCGACTATAATGGTACCAATTATTGACGCCATTTGAATGTCACATTCGTAACTGTCCAAAGAGGTCTGTTAAGATTCGACGATAAAGGGCGTCGTTTTTGAACAGGATCGGAGTGTTGCATCCAACATCTGGGTCAAGCTCGTATACCTCTGGCTTCTTACTGACGACTGCTCTAGCCAATACAGTATGTATATTACTACGATTTAATAAGGTTTGGTTTTATAATACCAAGTTTCGTAATGTCGGCCTTGTCGGAACCCTAAACACTTTTGTTGTTAATTTGTGCTCTATGCGGAGCACTGAGGACTGCATTCGCCCTGTTGCTCATCTGAGACCGCACGGCAGCTGTAGTTGTCCGCAGCGCCTCTGCCGGCGCCTCCGCCTCCGCCTCCGCCCGCTACCTCCCGCTAAGGCCCGTTACATTCACTACGCCGCTATTTAAGATTTACATTTTGTATGAATCGTTGTGAAGTCACGGTTGTCCTTCGTTTCTAGCGCGAGCGCAAGCCCTAGCCAAGCGTGGGACGTTTTTTTGTTGGATTTTTGTCGAGGAAAGATTCAGTGAAAGTTCAATGGTTTATAATACTGAAATATTGAATTAAATAACAACTCTGTATTTTTTTATTAATCCCTAGTTGTCATTGGCAATAACAGATACGGATTAATACGGTTTACTTTACTCCCATTCAGCTACAGAGTACTTGACTATTTACATTTTTATTTAGGTAGATATGTAGTAAAGTCCACTAACAATAAAGTCAAATTATTAAAGTTTTTCGCGAGATACATAGAGAGAGATGCATACAGCATTTACTTTCCCTTCTTCGCAAATTAATTGTGCAACACGTCTTCTCTGAATTTCGTACATGTAAACAGTTTAGCTATCTATTTTTCATCCCTGCCTTGGAGTGGAGTGAAAACGAGATTATAATCATTATTATATCCAAGGAGATGGAGAACTGAACTTGAATACTAAATGAATCAAGTGAAACGTGGCCCACGAACTAGCGTATTTCAGGGCTTTTAAACAAAGATGTAAATGTGTGTGTAATGTAAGGTTTAGTTTAATATTTTGGCCCGATGACACCACAATGGTGGCGGTCAGGCAGAGGGGCGGGGGGCGCATGGAGCCGCCCGCAGTGCAACCGTTTAATGGACATGGCTGTTTCTTTATTTGTTGTAAGGTGGCTCGCCGGGCCCGGGCCGCTGTCCCCACCTGCCCTACCTCCACTTGCGCCTCTGGATGTATCGTACGTGTGCACCTTGCTACTTACTACTTGCTAGTCTGCAGCGGCGAGCACCACTGCGCCGCCGCCTACAAACAGGGCTCCACCACGACAACCTACTCTCGTCAATACAATATACACTTTTTTCCTTTACATAAACTGCAGACGATCATCATCATGACTAACTTTTGTCTGTCCAATCCTGCAGATAGGCTTTTCACAATAATCGTCTGGTCTTAAAGGCATTCATGCCAATACATTACGATTATTAAATATTGCGTATATTGTGCGTGATTGTAACGAATTCTTTTAATTCCTCTGCAATGTACTGGAGACGAGACGAGACGAGTCTTAGATGTGATGAATTGTGAAATCATTTCGTACAATTATTGATGAAAAAAGCTCTGTTTGTTGGCGAGTTAGTTTTTCATTTAATTGATGTGTTGAGAGCAATGTCCAAGAAATATGTTGAGTGTTGTAACAGTGTTGTATTTTCAACTTGTGCTAATTATCGTTTATTAAATTTGTTGTATGTTTACCTTTGCTTGCATCGTCATGCAGTACGCCGTTGTCCGATTGCTGATGGCCTAACTTAACCTAACCGTGCGCCCACTGCACTGCATATGGATCGCAATTGCGCCTTTACGTTATCGATATTTTGTGCTATTTAACAAAGTCGAGGTGAGCCTCTCGCATAAGCGCAAAAGCGAAACGTCCTGAGACTTGATGTCATACGTCATTTTTGCAAAAAATCTTTATATGCTAAAATGTATATGAAAAAATGAGGCGACAAAAGGCGACGCTCCACCTCGACTTTGCGCCAGTGTGGGTTGAACCTTGGTGTTATCCTAGTGGTTATGGTCTCGGTGGTAGTGGTATTTCGTCATCACAAATAATTAAGTTCATTTGAAATGTATTACTTATATGGCTAAATTATAGACAAGATATATGTTTATCTTTTTGAGTTGTGTGTGTGTGTGTGTGTGTGATGTTGTGTGATATCGCAGAACGCACCATGTCCCTAGTGTCAGTAGTTATCGTTATGAAAAATGATCTGACGTTCAACAGTGAATAATTACAGTAGTAGTATAGTATTATCAATGTTAAGTAACAAGAAATGATCTGCACGCAACAGGTATTATACATAAAACTGATAAATTTATTTAGCAACAGTTCTCTCTTTAAAATTCTGGATTTGAATCAAATGTTCGAGCTGTGCAAATTATCTTAAAACAAATAAATTATAACGTATAAAGTTGATTTGTTCTCTACAATGTTTATCTAATAGTCTATTTCTTTTCTTTCTTCTCTTTATTGTGTTGTGTGTCCTTGTTTCCGTGTGTCGCTTTTAACACCATGCTTGTATTTTTGTTGTGGGGGAACATTTTCTTCAATAATGTGACTGGCTGAACGTCATGATGTCTAATTTAGAAAGCAATCAGTTTGCCGATTGTGAATACCATTTAGTATTTTAATTGTTTTAACTATTGTTGCTATCAAGCAATTGTTTAATTTAGATTAGCGCGCTCTTGGTTTTATTTTCCTCAATCACAGAAATGATTAGATATTTTTATCATCAGCTACATTTGAATAATTTAGGATTATAATTTAAGGTTAGGTTAGCTTTTCGTAGTAGCGTTAGAAAGTTTGTTATGGTCAATCCCAAGATGCATTTTACGGATATCAGACACAATCTCCAGGAATCTCGAAATGAAACCTCCCATATTATCCTCACTTATTATTGTGAATTCCGTTGACCATGTAAAAGACGCTCTGGTCTTTTACAATGACCGTGATGATAAGGATTTATGTGATTTGTGATGTGTGCGGCGGCTGTGGAGGCGCGCCGGCAGGTGGTGCGAGCAACGCACATACACAACACACCCCATAACCGTCGCATAACGGGACACGCGCCTCTCCCCAATGCTCGTTTGTGACTTCTCATGTTCTCTTCCTTTTACTTATGACATATATATATATATATATATATATATAAATATTGGTGGAAAAGCATCGGCTACGTAGCGGAGGAGCATCGCTGTACAAAACAAACTATAAAATAGTTGTACGTAGTTTTTATCAAGCAATTCGTAGTGGAAGGTGTGGTGAGCGTCAACGTCACGACGACGACGTCAGTGTCCCCGCCTTCACATTTTGTTCGCTGCATATAAATAAATATGATTATTTGTCATATGTATGCGGCGGTATTATTAGTCTCGTATGAAAATAAGTAAGTTCAATTCATTTCACTGGCTCTCTCCAAATGCAGCCACTGCGCGGTGTGAGGGGCGCGTTACTACTTTTAGCACTTTTAATATTTACTTTCAAATTTCCTCATTAAGTATTTTTGAAGACCACTATAATCGAAGACTACTTGCTCCTAAATACTGTGCCACAAACTGCCATGCGACATAAATAAAACAATTGTATTATTCGCTAAGTAGGTTGCGTCGTGTAATTAATATGTACGCACTTCCTGCATCCCGCGGCCGCGGCCTTGGCACACAACCTGCGACTACAATACGCGAGTCATTACACCAGTCAACGGGCTGTCACATGAAAAGCTGCCGCGATGCCTTGCGTTAGCGTCTTGTTTTAATTATTAGATTTACAAGTATTTGGGCTGGATGTCTAATTGTTTCTACTAACTTTTGTGGTGTTTTGAGTTTGGACATCAAAGTGTTTAAGAGCCCTGTTGCTGTCCTAACAGACCCCAAAGGTTGTGACTGATGTTTCTCTAAAAAGGTGTAGATCCCTTACTAATTTGTTAGGATCTTATCTTCCGGATGCCACAGGTTTCGAAACTGTACCTACCGTTTGCATATCTAATTTATTATTATTTGGTTATGTCGTATTATACAAAACATGGCACTTCAAGTCCGCTTATTTTTTTTATTTGTTTTATGCGGAAAAGTTTTATATAGTTATGTTTTTACTATGAATTGGAACATAAAGGAGTGGGAAGAGACGACTAAGTGTCCGCCGGCCTGTTAATTGGTTACTACATGAGGCCAGTTTTCTCTCTGTGCAATGGTGTTTATTATTCTGTCGAGATTGATCGACAAATAACAATGACCAGAGAAACATACGTAGTGTTACTACACTAATTAGGTAAATGGGTATTGTGTAATGGGCGTTGTGCTGCAGGTCATGGCAAGACGCACAAGGACGCCGCGAGCGTGCGCGCCACCCACCCCATCCCCGCGGCGTGCGGCCTCTACTACTTTGAAGTGCGAATCGTGTCGAAAGGTCGCGATGGCTACATGGGCATCGGCCTCTCAGCGCACGGCGTCAACATGAACCGTCTGCCCGGTGAGTCCCGTATCTCTCTTATGCATGTCAGAGATGTGTGCAAGAATCTAACGACGCGATGTTTGTGTGGTGCTTCAGGGTGGGACAAGCACTCGTACGGGTACCACGGCGATGACGGGCACTCGTTCTGCTCGTCGGGCACGGGCCAGCCGTACGGACCCACCTTCACCACGGGAGACGTTATCGGCTGCGGTGTTAACCTCGTCGACAATACATGTTTCTACACCAAGAACGGCCACCATCTCGGCATCGCCTTCAGAGGATTACCCGTGAGTCGCCTGCTTCTTCCGCGCGCACTTCATGCCCGCATGTCAATCGGTAGACAAAACCATATTCGCATAATAACATCATTAGGTAAACGTGAGTTCAATTCAATTGTTGTACTAATATTATATGTTACAACGTAACAAATCTTCTCTTGAATTCCGTGAAGATAGTAACGCAGAGACAGTAAGACAACGTACGAGAATAGTAAGATGGTGGTAAGATGTGGTGTTGCCTGTCGACAGCCGAACCTGTACCCGACGGTGGGGCTGCAGACGCCGGGCGAGGTGGTGGACGCCAACTTCGGGCAGGCGCCGTTCGTGTTCGACGTGGAGGACATGCTGCGCGAGCTGCGCGCGCGAACCCGCCTCGCCATCGACGAGTTCCCGCTGCCCGACGCGCAGGGCCAGTGGCAGCAGGTGCTGCACAGGTGCGCACCGCCGCGAGGTGAGAGGTGAGACGTGAGAGGTGGGCGCGGGTAGTGAGCGGTGCGCGCTGCTTGCAGGATGGTGTCCTCGTACCTGGTGCACCAGGGCTACTGCAGCACGGCGCTGGCCTTCTCGCGCGCCACCGGCCAGCCCATCGACGAGGACATCGCCTCCATCAAGAACAGACAGAGTGAGCGCTCTTACATGTGTACCGTGTCGCGAGACGGGCGGCCGGTTGCGGTGTCATGGTGTGGGTGTGTGCAGGGATATCTAAGCTGGTGCTGTCGGGGCGCATCGGAGAGGCCATCGAGGCGACGCGGCGCGCCTACCCCGACCTGCTCGAGCGCGACCCCGACCTGCTCTTCCTGCTCAAGATACGACAGTTCATCGAAATGGTCAACGGCACCGACTCCGAGGTACCGCCACACTCTAAACCGCCCACCACCACCACCACCACATGTAACGCCTCATTTTCTTTCTCTAACAAAAACTCTAGAAGAATATCGATCCGTTTAGGTGACGCTCCAGACTTATTTTGGACGTATTTTTTACATTGCCGCGTATTACAAAATACTTACAAAAATATTAGCATCAATATCGATATCTTCATATGCGCTACGAGCAAGTGAAGGTAATTATCTCGTGCGAAAAGCGTCGGGAGCAGCGGCATTTGTGTTGTACTCGCAATGTGTCGCCGAGCGCAGGTCAGCGGCGAGCGCGCGCCCGACTGCGCCGCAGACGTCGGGGCCAACGGCGTCGCCACCTCCGTCATCGCCCACACCGCGCACCCCGCGCACCCCGCGCCCCACGCGCCCCACGCCCCGCACGCCCCGCACGCCAACGGACAGGCTGCGCCCCACGCCAACGGTAACGCCCTCCCAGTACACACCTCATTATACAGCCTGTACACAGGAGTTATGTAATGCTGCGCCGCCTTGCAGGAGTGGCGCTGCCGGCCGACCAGGCCACCGACATCGACGTCGACGTCGACATGACATCCCCCGCCAACGGCGCGCACCACGCCCCGCACGCCCCGCACGCCCCACACCAAGGTACGCTCGCCGCAACGTAATAATAGATAGATAGGAGCTTCCGAGAACAGTGTCTCAGTCCGACATCCGACATCCGACATCCGACATCCGACATCTGTCCGGCTTTAGAGGCTCGAACATGTGACGAGACAAGGCGACTTTCAATTGCGCTCATGATGTCGGACATTCACCGCACCTCATCAGAATATCAATATAAACTATTAATATTATTATTTTATTTTCCCAGCAGATTTAATGGTGTTATATGTTATGTAAATATTTACATTTATTTATTCTAATTATTCATGATTTGCGCACCATCCCCATACATTTGTTTCCTTTCAAAAACATTTTCACCGTTCGTCGTCTTACCTTATTGTTCTATTATTTTGTTTGTTCGTCGCTTTTTAGTTTGCCATAAAATATAATATATATCATATTATGTGCTCTCATATGTTATACTTATATAATTATAATGATATACATATGATTAATATATAATGACATCGTACACGATCGACAGCAGCAGCGTCTTGATGTCGCCCCACTCTCATGTACAACTGCCGCACTGTGCGGCCCGTCACCTCCCCTTGCCTCCCCTCACCTCCCCTCACCTCACACCTCACAATTCACATTTCGATACCATGTAATGCTTAATTTCAATTTAGTTACATTTCGCTTGAGCACCCCGCATTGAATAAACCTACCACAATATATTAAGATTAATCCCTAGGCCTGACCATTGAAGAAATATTCATTTGTAATAGCTATAAAGAGGAAATGTTTCACTCACCGGTGATTGCTGAACTGCAGGGCAACATTTCCGGCGACATGTCCAGTGATCACTCTTCCCCGCAGAGGGAGTATTAGAGATAAGATCTGATTCGACTCGTCCTTGCCTTACCACCGGACAGCACGTGCTATTGTAGCGTGCGACCGGTCGCGCGACACGATGCGAGGCGAGGCGAGGCGAGGCGGAGGGTGATGGTGATAAGGCGGTGGTTGTGTTGCGTAGATGGCGGTCTGCCCACTGCGCCGCTCTTGAAGGGCATGCCCGGCATCACCACCAGCGTGGCCGCGCTCCTGCCGCGCTTTGGTGCGTACCGCTCGCCCGCCGCACGCTCGCCCACACGCCCACTCGTCCGCACGCCCACTCGCCCACTCGCCCACTCACCCACTCACCCACTCCCCACCCCGCTCACTGCGCCCCCGCGTGTGTGTGTCTGTGTGTGTGATGCCCTCCTTCACTTCATCACTTTGTTTGGTTGTTTTAATCGTTTTAGCATCATTGCAGAATAACAATACTGTCTGCCCATGTTTCTTGTCTGTTGTCTGTTGTCTGTATCATTACTTACTCCTATCTTGAATAATTGATAAACATTATACTCGGTCTTTCCTATTATTATATACAAAATTATAAACTTTCTTGATATTAGATATAAATTTGCATACTAGCGGTATGGCGCAGTATGGCGCAGTATGGCGCAGTATGGCGCAATATGGCGCAGTATGGCACAGTATGGCGCAGTGTGGCGCAGTGTGGCGCAGAATCTGGTTGTATGTGCGAGGCGACGTCGTGCGCTCAGCGGGAGCTGGAGCTCCGGACTAATACCAATGATATACTAATCACATTCACCATTCAAAATTATTTCTAAGAAATCTCGCTTCTTTATTGATTTGTCTTGAATTACATTTTGATATGACCAGCCGAAACAAAAGATATATCATTGTTGGTACATAAAGCACCCGCAGAGCACAGACGCACAGCCACACAGTCGCACAGCTACACAGTCGCACAGTCGCACAGCCACACAGTCGCACAGACGCACAGCCACACAGTCGCTTGCAACATTAGTTAGTTAGTGAGGCAAAGGACAGCAGTAGACAGGCATACAGTCACACCTGTACACAGTATGAGTTCGCAAGTAGTGAGTCCCAGGTGTAGTTATGTAAGTTGCTGCCCTTGTAATCACATGTCGATATCTCAATATGATAGAAGAGATTGTTTCATAAATAGTTTTTGAAATTGCTCGCCTCGTGTCCGACGCGGCGGACACAACAAACACAACAGATCGCTTACAAGTTGTGCTGCTTCACCGCTTCTATCATTTCTTGATCCTTCGAGCCAGATAGATATTCCTTTGCATTTTTTTTTCTTTTACTACTCATCTTGGAAGTGAATGAACCTTTGTTCGATGCATTTTCAGTTCGGTACGCTTCGCTTACTCATCGTGTCAAAGTTATGTACAAAAATATGTTTATTTTTATTTTGGATGTAGTGATGTCGCCGTTTCACTGATGCTCGCGCGCTCGCACTGTCGTCTCGTCTACATCACATATACACCGCCTATATCTATGTGCGAATATTAACTCTATTCTATGCATTTGTACGTATATATGTATGTATGAGATTATTGTTTATTTATATTTAACATTCACAATAATTATCATTTGTCCCCGTTTACCCTCAGACTTACCGTGTTTGTATTATATTAGTGTTCCGATAGAGAGATGATGATCAGCACTAGGAGTTAGCAAAGTGTCTGTGTGTATGTGCAGGCGGGGCGGGCGCGGGGGCGGGCGCGGGTGGAGGCGCGGGCGGCGGCTGCACGCGCGCCTCCGTGGAGCGCATGCTGGCCTTCGGGCGGGACCTCTACGCCATGAGCCAGCGCCACACGCACGACCCCTGCCAGCGCGCCATGCTCGAGGTGAGCCCTCCGCCCCCGACACCACCACCCCCACCCCCACCCCCACTCACCGGCGCGCGTGCTTGTGTTTGTGTGCAGGAGGCCTTCAGCTTGCTGGCGTACAGCAACCCGTGGGACAGCCCGGTGGGCTGGCAGCTGGAGCCCATCCGCCGCGAGCCCGTCTGCAGCGCCCTCAACGCCGCCATACTGGGTACGCTCCCCCGTAAACCTTTCACTCTCCCGTTTTATTTTCACGATGATGATGAGCGAGCCGCTGCTCACCCGATGTATGGGAGGCGATGGACTCGATGAAAATGTCAAATATAATACTGTTATCGATGACCTGTATGAGTAAGTAATAGCGCGAATGTCGTTCCTTGATGTCAGAGCTCCACGGGCGGCGCTGGATGTCGTCAGTGGAGGCGTGCATCACGCACGCGCGCGAGCTGCTCCGCCGCATGGCGCGCGCCTCCCTCGGCGCCTGCGCCTTCGCCGACCTGCCCGCGCTGCTGCGCCACTGACCGCGAAATCGCATCGGCCCGCACGCGCCCCGCGCCCTCCCGCGCCTTTGCTCGCGCCTTCGTACGCGCACGCGCCCCCGCACGCGCCCATGCCGCCGCGCGCTCTTAATATGTATTAGTGAAGTTCATTTGGGAGAGAGATAAATCAACATCTTCACTTTATTTAAGCAATGTATAAAACCCCTTCGATATTTTTATCTATGTTATATAAGGCGCGTGGAGTAGGCGCGGGAGACGCGTGGGGGACGCGTGGGGGACGCGTGGGGGATGCGTGGAGGACGCGCGGGGGACGCGTGAAGCTGGCGTGTCAAGCTTGCGATATGCATCTATGTAAAATGTGCAGAGGTTGCATCGTGTGTATGTATATACCGTGTGCTTCGTTTCACCGTCAACGAAAATGGACGTTGTGATATATATGAGATAAAGCTGAAATCAATTGTAGCACTAGTGTGACGGAGGGACTATGCGTTGTGTATATTGTCTTTCAACGTATATTATAGATATATCGATTATAAAATATAAAAAATGAAATAAAAATAGTGGGTAGTAGTACCTCGTAGGGGCGGGGGCGGGGCGAGGGGCGCGGGGTTGCGCCGCACCACTGACACACGACTGCACTGATATATTTGAACATAAAAAGTATCGTCCCCGCGCCGGACCTACGATAGATTTACTTATAAACAAACTGAAAATATTTACGTGTAGAAAAGTAAAGAATTATAAGAGTGGCCGCCGCCTTGCGTTTTCTGTGCGTTCTTTGTGTCCGTGTCGGTGTCCGTGTCGTCCTGTCGCCCGGAAGAGCGTAGCGTTAGCGTGGGGCGACTGGCGCCGGGTGTCGGGCGCCTGGTGTCGGGCGCCTGGTGTCGGGCGCCGGGCGTCGGGCGCCTGGCGTAAGGCGCCGGGCGGCGGCCAGCGCGGGACGTCTCTGCACACACTCGAATCTGCTGGCATGTTTTGCAATTGCAGAAAATATTAATATGTCTGATAAAGTTCGCTTAAATGATTGCTTCTTACAGCGGCGCAGTGCCGTGCTGCTGTGTGTGCGGGTGTGTGTGTGTGTGCGTGTGTGCGCGTGTGTGCACGGTCGTCCTGGCGACAGGCGTCAGGCGACAGGCGTCAGGCGACAGGCGACAGGCGACTGCCTCACGCCGAGTTGTGTAAACATGAGTCTACAATATTGTTCGTATATTGTATTGTTTTCTTTTTTAATAATATTATATTGTGTTTAAACGACCATCCTGTGTTTGATTTCTATCCTCGTCGCTTCCAAAACTATATTTTTATGACAAAGATGAAAGAGAAGTAAATAACATAAATGTACGTATGGCGCCGCAGCAGGCGGGGTGGGCGAGGTGGGCGCAGTGGGCGAGGTGAGCGCCATCCGGAGCCGGGCGCGGCCTCACACACACACCACTACCAAAATACTGTTTACGTTCAGTTTCACGTATCGATGAAAATGATTTGTTGTGTCAGAAAACTTACACTGTAACTGATCTGTATTGTGTCTACTTGAGATTTGACAACTGACGCCTATAACAATAATAAAGCCATTTATTTCCATACAGATAAATACATGGTACAAACAAAATGTACAAAGTAACTACAACTTGCAATAAGAGAATATGCTCACAATACAGTATCCTAAGGTATTTTTCTTCATTACACTATTTATAGACTTAATTTAGTACTTTTCATTTTTTTATTATTCTGTAGGAACCCCTGTTCGGGTAAAGGCCTCCTCCAAAGACGCCCAATTCTCCCTATCTTGAGCCACGAACAGAGAGAGAACTTGAGAACCCAAGTCTCGGAACCATAGATTATTAGTACAGGCCTCAGAAGTGTTTTGTCCAATAGCAATTAAATTTTTCGGATTAGAAGTTTAGAACGAAAATATCTTAAAAGGCGGAAATAGCATTTATTTGCCGCCATTACTCGTCTTCTGATCTTTCAGTTCTGATATTCCATAGAATTCATGGTTTCATTAAAATTATAATACATTTATCAAAGAGGCCGTCTTTGTGTCGATAGATAGTGCTCTTGACCAGTCACTACTAATTTTATAAAAAAAATGTTTTATTTCTACCTTTAAAACATATAAGAAAGATTTTATGAGTATGGGGGATATAAACAAAACAAACTTATTGCAGGTCCACGGTAAATTATTTTCGATTCCATACGAGTAAGTGATGTGAAAAAGTATTTAATCCGAACTGTATTAGGTACATGGTATTTGTCACAGAGTTTGTTTGTGTGAATGGACTTGGCGGAGTGGTGGCAGTTGAGCAAGGCGGTTGTGCAAGAGGCGGAGAGTCGAGACGAGGCGTACAGGGTCAGTACCCACGCAGAGCTACAACCGACGTCTTGCGGAAATTCATTTCTCCAATATTCAATTAAATCTTCATCTATAAAAGAAATCAATCACTTGTTTCTACTTAAGACGTTGGTACGATGGTGCGCATGTGCAAGTTAATACTGTGCTGGGTGTGGGTATGGGCTTGTGCGGCGCGGGGCGGGGCGGCGCGCACGCCGGTGCTGAACACGCCGCAGGGCCGGCTGCGCGGTGTGCTCGGGCCCGCCGGCCAGCGCCGCTACTACGGCATACCCTACGCCACGGCCGGCAGATTTCAGGTCGATTCAACACATGTGACACTTCTATTTATATATTTACTTTCATCGACTTCGTAGAATTGAAATGCAATTGTTGAGTCTTATTTTAATTAACAGGCTCCAAGAGTGGCGCCGCCATGGAGCGGTGTGCTGGAGGCGGTAGATCGCTTCCGCAGTTGTCCTCAGATGCTCTTCTCCGCGGTGGTGGGCACGGAAGAGTGCCTAGTGCTGGACGTGCACGCGCCGTCGGGGGCACGCCCGGCACGTAGCCTGCCAGTCATGGTATTCATCCACGGTGGCGCCTACTACTATGGCACGCGGGCGCACTACGACCCAGAGTATTTGGTAGCCAAGGACGTGATCGTCGTCGTGATAAACTACAGGCTGAATGTACTCGGTTTTCTCTGCGCGAATGGGGTTTCCAACCTCGGGTTACGGGACCAGGTGGCAGCGCTGCGCTGGGTGCGGCAGAACATTGCGGCGTTCGGCGGCGCGCCCAGCGATGTAACGCTATGCGGACAGAGCGCGGGCGCCGCCGCCGCTACCATGCACTTGGTGTCGCGCGCCAGCCGCGGCCTGTTCCACAAGGTCATCGCAATGAGCGGCTCGCTGCTCGCGCCCTGGGCGTTTAACTTAGATCCTCTCGCGCCTGCCCTCGACGATGCACGGAAACTCGCGCCCGTCAACACCGAGCGAGATATCTACGAAGTTTTCCTGAATTCCCCGATCGACGATCTGATTCGCGCAACCGCAGGCACCTCCGTAGATCCGAAGTACTTTAAATATTCGCCGTGTATGGATTCGAACGCGACAGATCCATTTTTCTTCGGCGCGCCGTACGATTTGCTCAAAAACGGAGAATTCACAAAGGTACCCATGATGATAGGGCACGCCGAGGACGAGGGCGTCCTATTCTTTGGGTTGACGGAGCGAGTTATTTTGAAGAAACTGGATGAGGAGTTCGAGGAGAGGCTTCCGTCCGTGTTCTCGTGGTGTCCGGCGAACAGAAAGGAGATCGCGAGACAACTGCGCTCGCACTACTTCGGCGCGGCGAGCATCAGCGGGGCTGCGGGCCGCGGTCTCGTCGACTTCTACTCGGACTGGATCGTCCGTGGCACGCACCACGCCTTCCTGCGTCTTTTAGCTTCAGTTTCCCACGAGCCCATTTACAACTATATATTCTCGTACCGGGGCAGTAGAAATTTCGCGACGATGTTGGCCGAGTTGCGCGGGGGCGGTGGCTCGGGCGCGGGCGCGACGCACTCGGACGACATCTTCTACATGTTCAAACCGGGCGGGTTGCCGCTGCCCCTCACGCCGAACGACAGGACCTTCATCGACAGGCTAACCCTCCTCATCACAAACTTTATGAGATATGGGTAAGTTTATTTAGGAATATTACTTTGTTTATTGTGTGAGAGTTGGCGGGTTAGACGAAGAATTCTCGTTATAGTTTTCATTGGATGCGAATTTTGTACCTACCAGTAATGACAAGGTGTATTTTTGTATTTGGCAGCGACCCCACCCCGCCGTCTCACCGCTCACCGCTGCTGCCGTTCCTGTGGCCGCGTTGGAATATGTCAATGGGCCTGCAGCTGTCAGGCTCTCCGAAGCCGGTGCGGAGGCGTGCAGGCATGGACGGCGGGCCGTTCTTGCGCGCGCTGTGTACACACGGCCGGCGTGGCCACGTGCCCTGCGATAGCGCCGCGTTTTGTGTTACTAACTCAACCAACAGACGTGTAAACTTGGATTCGGCTGTCGGCCCATCTTAGCTGCACAATCAATCGAAGACGCCAGTACTTTCCAGCGATGTATCTAATTCTATCTCTATGATTAGTTCTAATCCTCACCACCGCTGCCAATCGTAACCGTCAGTACCAAAGTAGGAAATGTCCATCTGTTCACCTGCATTATATGTAACTACAGGGATGATAGATGTCCAGGTACATACTCCTCTTTTGGAAATTCTAACATCTTTTTCGTAAAACAAAATCGTGTCCATGGCATTGACATTGTTATCTGTGTTCGGGTTGTCAAACATAACTGGAACCTGGAAGAGCGAGAAGTGCAAGGGACCGCAATATTTTCGCTTATAATGGTTGGAGGTCGTCCGTCGGTACCGAGCAATTCCTCTCCCTTATTCAGTTCTTATTAATCTAGGTTCGTCTGTATAAGTAATATTCACATATGTTGAATGTAACTGAGTAAATATTCTGTATTTTTCTTTAATTATGTCCGGCCCAAAGCGTGTTGTCGCTCGGCCTGGTTCTTGCCGGCCTCGCAGCGGTGCGCGCGTAAGTATTGAACAGCGCCGTCCCGCCGCAGTTCAACGCCTCGGGTCCGATCCGAGCAGTTTATGAAAAACTAACATTTTCATAAATGGTCGCTCTTCTCAGTTAGTTTACTGTGAAATGAACGAGCTGCTTCAAATAAAGGTTGTTTAATTTTAGAGATAAAGAATCAGCCAATAATGAATTAAAATAGTCCTAAATATACGTAAAAGTCTCGCGTAAATCAATTTGTTCAACACCACCTTAGTTTTTATGTAAGCAGTAATCAAATTACAGGCGAAACAGTTGAATTGTGCGTGCAAGTGCAAGCTTTAACAAAATCTGTAAGCAACAGAAGACGATGTTTGTCTGTGAATACAACGAGTGTATCCTCGGCACGAATGCGCTTAGCTCCTCTCTTATATATTTAAATAAAATGTATTCGTGAAGAGTTGTTTAGGTTGTGTACGTTAATATAGATGTAAGTTTTTTTTATGTAATATGTAGGTAAATGAGTAGAAATCAGATTTTTTTGTAATTTATTTTAAAATCATAGGTTATTCACGAAATGTGTATAAAATCACTTAGATACGGTGCACGATTATGAAGTATATGTGCGTGTTGTCTTGCAAATTACTTTTAAATATACGCGTTAAAATAATTACTATGTACTTACGCATTTTTTGCGAGTGACACCAGCGAGGAAGTATGATATCATCAAAACAACTCACTTATCTCAGTCCATTAACGAATTTTTCATGAATAGATTAATGCCGAAAACATGATTGTTTTCTTAATATAAATAATGAAACAACTTAATGTAATGAAATATTTATTAAATAACACCACGTTAATATAAATAACCACTGTATATAAACTTATTGCACAAAGGACTAGAAACTATCACCTTTACGAAAGTTAATCTATGTAGGTACCTCAGAGTACGTGCTTTGGGTTTCGCTGCAGTATTTCAAAGGGAACAAAAATATATATGTAAACACATGGCACGAGGTCCCATGACAATCACAGAATTGACAGTCATTGAACAAATTATTCAATTTAATTAAATGAAGTAACACTGTAGGTACCATTTGGCAACACTTTATGTAGATAATAAACATAATTTACTCTTGCGACCGTATATATTTTGAACGTACATCTTCGTAGGCTTCGTATACTTTAACATTTTTTCACGGCATTTAAATAGTACGCACGCACAATGAGATGTCTGTCCCAGTAGTGCACAATAGAGCCACGTGTGCAGTGCAGTGCAGTGCAGTGCTCCTCGCGCGTGCAGTTAGGAGAGGGCGGCCGCATCTCGCACGAGGCCGTAGTGGCCGAAGCTCCTGCGACGGTACTTGGCGTACGTGTGGTTCCAGAGGCTCACGACGCGTTCGTCCCACATAGGCGCGGTGCTAAGCGCGCGGTCTATCACCAGCGCGCTGGGGCTTGTCGCGCGCCCCGCACGCCACCTCACCGGCAGCAACTGCGACCTCTGTGGGGTCGGATCACTGAAAACAAAGTACATACACATTAATTAATCATGTAATTATTATAAGTAAATGTCTCGGTTGGAACCATTCTACTCTTAATGAGTGGAATAGAAAGTAAAATCACTACATTTAAATATTTACTATATATTTTTCTATTTGGCGTTAGGACTTGTATGGTATGTATATCCTGGAGAACGGAGCAGCGCAAGCTGTGTTATCTGGCCGCGTTTAGCGCTGGCCTAATTATGAAGCCATTTGACAACGATTTTATCTGCGGTTCATAGTCTGTATAGAATCCATACTACAGATGATACGAGTGGAGTCAATAGTTGCTACACTATTTAAAATAACTTAAGTTTAATTATCACAGTGAAATATATAATTTAAAAATTATTCCAAAACGAAAATGCCATGTCAAGTTGCGATAAATGTGAGTCGTTTTGTTTCACATAAATTGTTGCTACTTGTGAATAGTAAGAGATATACGCACCCGTACTTGGCGAAGTTGGTCCAGAGCGTGACCATGCGCCGGATCATGGACGTCTCCAGGTAGCGCTGCGGCAGGGGGAAGGAGGCCGGCTTGAACATGTAGAAAAGTTCGTCTGCGTGCGAGGCGCCGCGCCGGCCACCGAAGCGCGACACCTGTTTGGGCAAGTTGATGTAGCCGCTGTACTGGAACACGTACAGGTATATGGGAAGCGGCGACGTGCGCAAGTACAGCTCGGCCTCGATCACGGCGGGGAACTTGAAGTACAGATCCGAGTACAGCTCCACTACGCTCATTATCATGTCTTCCTTTTTAGAAGAGAAGTAATAGTTCTGCAACATCTCGGCGGTAGAGTTTCGTGAATCCTCGCCCGGGAACTCGAGGTCCGGGGAGAGGAGCTCGAAGGGGTTCACTTCCTCCACTCTGGTGCCGTAATCTTTTGCTACGAAGTAGATGCCCTCGTTGTCATTGAAGCCGATTATCATGGGGACTTTGGTGTAGTTTCCAGAGGCGATGACGTCGAGCGGGTGCCCCGTCACTGCGGCTTCCACGCCGGGGATTGGCTTTTCTATGCAGGGCGCCAGGAGAGTCTCTGCCGTTATATAATTTTTGTGCTGCGGGTTGCGCACTGCCAGGATCAACTCCTCGGGACTCCTCCGCGAGAGGATATCGTACAGCTCACGGGGGTCTACGGTGGAGTAACCGAATTCTTTAGCAATGTTGCTGGCAGTTTTGATCGGATCCTGCTGCATTCCCCAAGACGCTAGGGACGACCCGCTCTGGAGGATGACTCTGTGGAAGAGGCCTCGGGCGGCGGGCGAGGAGATGAGGTAGGAGCTGGATACAGCGCCGGCGCTCTCCCCGAACAGCGTCACGCTGCCGGGGTCACCGCCGAACGCCCGGATGTTGTCCCTGACCCAACGGAGCGCTGCCACCTGGTCCTTGAGACCGGCGTTGCCCGGCGCCTCCTCTATGCCCAGGCAGAGAAAGCCTTCCACGTTAAGCCTATAGTTAATGCCGACGAAGACTACGCCGTGCTCCACGAAGTAGTCTCCGCCGTAGAGGAAGGCGGTGCCGGCACCCTCGAAGAAGCAGCCGCCGTGGATGTAGACCATAACGGGCAGCGGCGCGAAATGCGGCGCGGCGGGGGTGTACACGTTGAGACGCAGGCAGTCCGCGTCGCCCACCACTACAGAGCCGAGCATCTTCTGCGGGCAGCGCACGTGTTCCTCGATGGCCTCGAAGATGCCCTTCCATTTGAGCGGCGGCAGCGGCGCCTGTGCACCACAATTATATTCTTATTTACATTTGTTCTCCTCAATTATCTATTGACCCGCCAAGCTAAATAAAAGTCCGTGATAGCATATATCTATCTATTATAGTTTTTTCACAATAATAATTTTTTTCTGGAATAACAATTAAATTCATGCGCTAATTCCAACGCTATTTTTCGAGCTCGGTATTAACCCTTATGTAAATAAATGTGTTCATTATCAAGAGAATTTAATGTATTATAGATTATATTTGCCATTAGGAGATATCGTAAAAATAAAAAAAATGCAACAATTCGTAACAGGCAGAGAAGACAATTTTTATTTGTTAGCTTACGTAGGCCAAACTATATGATGTATGAACGAATTGTAGATTTAATTTAAATTTGCGACAATGTCTTTGGTAGCATTTATTAACAAATGCAGTCACAAAAATGTAAATATCCCGAACAGGCCGCGCCTACAACAAATGTCATATTAGAAAATGATCAGGTTGCCAAGTCGTATGAACTGAGATACACAACGAGAATTATGTATTGGTGGGGGACGCCTGTATTGTACCTTTACATTGATACATCCTTACTTGATTCACATTTAGCGTTAGAACATTGGTACCTATAATATTTTCCTTAAAATGTATATACGTATATGTACCTACATAATGTACGTACGTCTATAATTTATTGTATTGTTTATGATATATTGAATGATGAATGTTTTGTACTCGGTACTGATAATAAATTAATTGTTTATTTCAATAAAGTGGTATTTTGTTTTACTAAGCCCAATTGAGTACAGTACAAATGGCATTGCAGTGCGCGGGGAAAGCTACACATTTCAAGACAAACTTAAATTGCAAGTGGATTAGGTAATACCTAGTGTGTCTTAACACACCTTCATATTTCTCCATATCCAAGGTTATTACTAAGTATACCTATATGTGCAAGAACATTCCATCCACTTTAGCCCCGTCGCGATATGAAAAACTGAGTGAAGATAGCGCGCCCTTGTATGTATGTCTGCTGCGGTATGGGTAAGTAAGTAAAGCAGGAGTGCATGCAACAGCCCAGGATTGGTGGTCGGGCGAGCACGCGGCCGGAGGCGGCGGCGCTCCCCTCGCCCCGCTCATCGGGTGAAACGACTTGCAACGGTGCAAGCCATGCTTTTAATTGAGTTGCAATCTTTGCTAGCTACTGCTTAATAAACTTAAATTAATATTAGTCTTGGTTGATTATAAACAGCATTTGATATTTTTGACTATTGTGAATTGCCATGTTTATACCGCGAGGGCGCGCCCGCCACTGTCGACCGAGGCGCTGTTCACATCTATTATTTATCAACATTTATTTATTTACAAAGGTCAACAATTAAATATGATAATTTAATTTCACTAGAAGCTATCTTTTGCGTGAATCAAACATTAATATTTGTTATATACGCTGTGTTTATCTACACAATGAATTCCTTGAATGTCAGCAGTTCTCTTACAATAATATATTGTATAAACATCATAAATAACGACTGTAATTTTTTACTTTTATGTTTTTATCAGCTCGTGCGCAGCAGCGAAATCTACTGTCCGTATGTAACGATTATGTAAAAAATAATGTAGTCAAATAAAATAAAAATAAGAAATTATATTTACACTGTACACAATGGTTACAATAGTTGACTATGTATTATAATTTATTGTCTATGGATTTATTTTGGAAAGTTCTAGTGTTACAAATTATAATTCAGACATGTCTTTTTTTAATAAATCTGTGATTAGAGTTCGAATCTCGTCATTGGACTATTGTTGCAAATTGTAAAATGCTAACACAAGCCTCGAACTTCTAATAATTGGAATGCTGTACAAGGAATATATTATAAAATAACGTTCCCGCAGTATCGCGGCGGCAACAGCAAACATCATCAGTTGCGTCCAGATTTATTGAGATGTGACTTCAGTTGATACTTTTGGGCCACAGATACGGTTAATTAGTATGAGTAATTTAGTAAGTTAATTAGTAAAAACTCTTAAAACAACATTAAGTACATTTTACAAGGCACGTGTAACTGGAACCGGAGTGGTCACAAACGCCGCGAGTGACGGATATCCAGCGCACCGGATTGCACATTCATAGGAATGCTGTCAGAATTAGCGTCTACGAGATTCAATAAAAATAACCTTCAGACCTTTACTTTGTAGTATTGTAGGTATGTCGTGATGGAATATTTTTCTGTGTACTGTTCACGTTTTCGCGTTTTATAATACCTGTTATATACTCTGTTATATACATAGATGATATAAATGAAGATTGCTCGCCTTGAACCTGTTCTCGTCACCGACGTAGCCGTAGGGGATGCCGAAGTAGGTGTAGAAGAGGCCGTCTTCGGAGAGGCGTCCGCGCACCAACCCGCCGCTTGTCTTCACCACGGGAGTAGGCACCCTCACCACATTGGCCACGATCAGAGACAGCAGCACCAACCACTTCATTGCTAAATGTCAAACACCAACACTGACTACTGTTTAACTAATATAAATGAATACCGAATCGGCATAGCTTTAGGTACTATTGATCCATGAATAGTATCTATTTAAATATCTATACAATATTGCGTAGTCATCGAATTAAAATCAAATGACGTTATTTTACCGATTAACCTACGTTAAAACATACACCTCTTACACATACTTAATTTACTGTATTTTAAAATAATTTAATTTTATTAAAATATTTTTTAAGGTTTTAAATTACAGTTTGCTTTGGAATATTCTAAATCACTGTTGGTTTCGTGTACTTGAATAAGCCGCTTACAATGTTAACATTGAAATCTGTACGTAAAGTTTGCGCGTGTTGTATTATAGTGTTTGTAACGGAGCGGGAGAGGGCGCGGGCACAGGTGCGGGTCGCGGCAGACGTGCGTGCGCGCGGGGCGCGGCGCGACGAGTGCGGGCTGCGGGCCAGGGCAGTGCACACGCTGTGGCGGCCCGGCGCTCGCCCACCGCAGCTCGAGAGGTCAGTCTACGTGAGGTTATCTGTGTTAAGGGCGCCTGCAGCATGCAGTCTTCTTGCACAATTTCATTCCTTAAACAAAATTTTTGTTTGTATTTGCAACAGCCGCAGGCGCGCTTCTCGAAATGGGATATGGGATGAGACTGCATTGGCCATATACACTTATTACTTAGTTGCATTTTCCACTTAGTGGTGGGTGGAAAAGTTGTAATTCATTGCTTTACGAACTGAAAGGTTTTCAATGCAACAAGTTTTTTTCTCAATTTGTATTGTTTGTGATGCAGCAGTTGTATTAGCAGTGCGCGGTGTTTAGTCGTTGGGTGTCGATGTCGCAAACGCAGCGAAGGCTCAGACTCAGGCTGTTCTTGCATAACGCTGCCAAAGTCAAGATCGCGCACAGCTCCGCTCCACCGACAAACACCTTCAAAATGCTCAACATTTGCTAATCATTAAACAAAACACGCGCGAAACTTTGACTCGCTACTTATTTATGAATATTTTTATCATTTGTTTTTTCGTGTTGTTTTTCTTTTTACTTTGACGACTCATCTCTACTTCATACACACGTGAGCTACCTTCCAGTGAAATCCTTCCCACATAATCGGGTCATGTTTGCGAAATATGATATATTTTCTATGTTACATACAGACACTTCTATTTTATTATAATAATTAAATAGATTGAGACATATCTTCATTTTTTGACAATAAGAGTGTAACTGATGAGCAGTAGACTCAAAACTCAAAATATTTAACAGTGGTGGCTCGTCCGGTGAAATACCACGACCACACAGAAGACAGGCGTGAAGTGGAAGCAATTCCGCGTTTCGTCTGATGAGTGTGCGTCCCGGAGGCCTAATTTAGTCCTCTTTCCCTTCCCACCCTTTTTCTTATAAGGAAAGGATGGGAAGTGGAAGTGGCTTTCCGGATGAGAGAATGCATGGGAAGGGAAGATATGTTCTTTCTGTGCATCCTCTCCTTCGTCGATTAAAGGTAGGCAACGCATATGCAATTGCGTATGTCTATGGGCAACGGTCACTTCGCTATTTCAGCGATTTCAGGTACCCACTCGCTCTTTTGCCACCTTATGATATAAAAAAAATATATATTGTGGATATTTTGTATTTGTTATATGACTGAGTTGAGAGTCCTATACATTTTCATTTTCATATTACTAAAGATGAACATTATAATAAGAGTAACCTTATAAGGTGAAAAGGTGAGGTACATCAGGAAAGATTTATATTGAGATGTTAGATCTGGCATTAATTGCTTCCAGTCAGTCACGCAATCTGCCTGTCTACGATAATATTCTGAATTGATACGTCGTTGTTCTAATGTTGCCAAAAAGTTGGTCATTTTGTAGACATTTAGAGAAAATGATGTTTGTGTATCGGGTGTGGTGCGGTGGCCTTGTAGTATTATTGACCTTCAGCAGTGTTGCTCAACGTCGGGCCGCAGCCGCAGCGGCAGCTCTAACCTTGGCACATTCGAGCCGATCTTGAGCCTCTCCAAACTATGTTTTATTTCTTCAATAATTTTAATTCTAAATTCAAAGACTATTTTAGTGTTTTGTTTATTAACATTCAAAATAGGCAAATACATAATATTCCATTTGTTTCATACATATTAAATGGACAAAGTATAAAATATTTTGGGGACAGTAACAGCAATAGGTGCATTAGGTAAGAGCGGAGGGCAGCACATCCGCCGCCGCCGCACCGCGACCTTGCTATACATATGTAAGAGTATGTACGAGTACGTCCGATTGTACTTTCATTATACTTTGCTAAATATTTTATGTAAACGTTTCTTAGCCATTTCACTTAGTCTAAGTACTTTATTAAGAAAGTTTTTCTATATTATTTAACAACAGTTTTGTATGTATTTTATGTATTTGGATTGGTAATTAACGTAATCGCCATGTAACTATCGTGAATTCACATAATACTGTAGTCGAGAAGTAATTCATTGCTCGTTCGTTGTATGAGAGCTATTACTATAAAGCAAAGTTTGGAAAACGTTTTCCTCGGGATTGTTTTAATTTTTTTTTGATGTCTAGATAGCGATTTTCAGTAAACACAGTGGATAGCACTTGCATCAAGTAAAATAATAATTTTCAAATTCAAATAATAATAGTCAAAACAAAAAAACAACTATAAACACAACTTTTTTGTACAGACTTTCTCGTAAAAATATAAATGGCCTAAACCTATCATAATTTTTTTATGTATAAGTATACGTATCAGCACTGAATGTGATTAGTGCTATTCTTCTACAATTATTTCCAAAAACTTTAGTAAGTTCTTCTTTTATAATTCAATTTTAATGATCGAATAAAATTTCTATGTAACTAAAATTTTCCTTAAGAATTAGAGGCGCGTGTACAGCGCCTGTGAAAGAATCTGAGCAAAATAAACAGTATACACACAAATGTTTAAATTTCAAGCAAAGTTTCTATTAACTAATTAGGCAAGTTCATTCAAAAAAAATGTGTTACGTCAAACCCCCGCAGTCCTTAGGCTGCAGACAAACAACCGCCGCTTCCGCCACCGCACGTCACGTCGCGACGCTAATCCCAGCGCTCATTTTTAACGTGCAATTTTACATTCGAAACGATGCGAAGTCTACCGCCTAAATATATCTTTCCTTAATCTCATTAGTACACTATGATAAGGTCTTTTCAAATTAGGCAAAGTTATTAACCTTTTCTTCTATATTTAGAGTACGTTTCATTCCAAAACAATAAAGCAGGTCCGCTCCACAAGGGCGCCGTGCTGAACTGACTGTCTATAACGAAAACGCGAGGATTATTCCTTTCCGTCGGAGGCCATTTTACGGGCAGTAATTGGGTAACGGCCGGCGTAGGATCCCTGAAACGTAGATGTATTAAGTTAATTAGAAACATGACAGCGCACGAGAAGTCTGGATAATAACAAAGAAAAGCGCAAGAGAAAATATATATAATAGTAACGTATAATTTAATCCGGTATTCGGACTATTGTGTTTATTATTTGCAAAGGATGTTTGTCTCATTAGAAGTGTTGTTTGCATGAATATTTGTTTCACTAATTTATTAATATAAAGCTAACTCTTTTTCCCTCCATATATTTAAAAAAGAAATGATACTTGCCCGTATTTGGCGAAATTAGTCCACATTGTAGTCATCTTGTCCACCATGTCCAGTTCGAGGAAGGACTGAAACAATTTTGCTTTGAGTTTGAACAAGTAGAAGAGTTCGTCAGCGTGTGTAGCGCCCGGCGCGCCCGCGAACCCGTAAAGTTGCTTGACGACGTTCATCCAGCCGGAGAAGCTGAACTGGTACGCGTATAGCGGCCGCTCGGAGCTCCGCAGCATCAGATCCACTGTCGCCGCCACAGAGTACGTTATACCCGAGTCTCCCGCGTAACGAGAAAACTTTACTAAATTATTCTTTGAAATTTTCTCGTAATTCATATAAAGTTTATTGAATGTGTCGGCGACGCTTTTCTTTTCTCCCATCGTGGGGAAACTAAGATCTCTCGGCAGAGAATCGATGAAATTAATATTTGAAATTGTTGTGTCGTTTTCTTTACCCACGAACATGTATCCTTCGGCGTTGTTAAATCCGACGATAACCGGCAACTTGGTGTACTTTCCTAGACTGAGTAAGTTGTATGGTGTATCATTAAGAAATTGATCATTTCCTTCAATTCTCTTCTCAGCGCACGGCACGAAGATGTTCTCGGATAGCACGACGTCGCCGCGAGCTCTCGGTACGCGAGCGCTGAGCAATTTTTCTGCAGATGTGTTGACGAAAATATTATAAAGTTCGTAGGGGTCGCTAGTGTTATAACCAAGTTGTGCGGCGAGCGCGCTGGCGGTGCTCACGGGTTCGAACTGGAAGCTCCACGGGGACATCGCGGAGCCGCTCTGCATTATGGCTCTGTGGAACAACCCCGCAGACATCGGGGAAAGGAGGTGGTACACAACAGAGGCTGAGCCGGCGCTCTCGCCGAACAACGTTATCGAATTTGGATCTCCGCCAAACGCTTCGATATTTGTCTTTACCCACTTCAAAGCCTCCAGCTGGTCCTTAAGGCCGGCGTTGCCCGGAGCTTCTTGGATGCCTAGACACAGAAATCCCATTACTTCTAGTCTATAGTTTAAAGTGACAAGGATAACTTCGTGTTTAACTAAGTACTCTGGTCCGTATATGAACGGAGAGCCGGAGCCGTCGCGGAAGCCGCCGCCGTGGATGTACACCATCACGGGCAGTATACGACCTCTGTTTATCGGCGTGTAGACGTTTAGAGTGAGACAATTATCCTCCGTGCCGAGAACAGTGGTGGCTGTGAATCTTTGGATGCACCTGATGTGCTCGTCCTGCGCCTCGAGCACGCCGCTCCAGCCGGTCACCGGTTTCGGCGCCTGAAAACATTAACATACATTCACTTAATTACTCGACCTTTGATCCTTTGATATTGGGTACGATTATGCCTAATCTATGGAGACCACTGCTGATACTGCTGAACTTGAGTTTTCAATATAAAGGGTAAAATGAGTGAAATTTATGAAAACACGACATCCATGCATTATATTCGTACCTGAAATCTACCGGCAGTGGCGTAGGGGATGCCAAGGTATGCGGCGTGCGAGCCATCGGGGGAGAGTGAGCCGCGCAGCAGGCCGCCGCTTACACGCACTGCCGGCGTGCGCTGCGGCAGCAGACGCGCCGCCCACAGCGACCACAGCGCCACCCACTGCTGGGCGCGCATCTTGTGCTGCCCACACCGCTGCTGCTTGCTACTGCTGCTGCCTACTGACTGCTGCAAATTGAATAAATAAAAGCTGTAAAATCCTTAGTTATTATAAGACCCATATGTTGGTTTCCCCCACTGGTGTTCCCACTATATAGACGTTTTTATGTATCGCGTTTATTTTGCTTAGCCCTTTGCAACCGACTAAGTATTATCTCAACATGAATTTAATTTGGATTATATTATACACATCAACGTCTGTGATGTGATCAAAATATTAGGAAGATATCTATCTAGACTAACTTAAATTGGTTTGAGTTTCAAATATTACTTAGTTCTAACTTAAATTGGCTGAGTTGCTAAGTGTGCTTAACTAAGAGGATTCCCAGTATCGTTTTGCATTGTCAATACATAGGTATGTATGTATGTATGTAGTGAATATCGCTGAAGAAACACACATAGACATGTTGACATGTCACACGAGAGTTAACCAGGGAGTTTGTGAAAGTCGACAGACAAAAATCTTCAAGATTCATGTTACGATATCACTTATGTCGGTTCTTTTGATATGTTAACTGACTGCAACATGAAGAATTTGTATATTAAATACATGATTGATATCTACTTTTACTTTTTTGGTTCAGACACTATTAAAAAACCCAAAACCTATATTTAAATTGTTTTTCCTTACATTTTTTGTTTTCCATTTGGTGTCGCTTAAATATTTTAAAGTGTATAATGTTATGTAGGAAAGTAAGAAATAACCTTGTATATGTGGTGTGCGGAGACAGCGCTTTGATAATGGTACACCTCGTATTATATTAACTACAATTATAAAAATAATAACTTACTTTGAATCATGATTCCAACCATTGCACTTCACTTTAACAATCTTTTATTAAATAAATAAAATACTTAGGTATGCTTTCTTAGGCTTTTGCATTACTTATTCACCTTAAAAATGATTTCACATTCGAAAATAAAGGAAAAAGTAAAGAAAAGTTAAATTAAACAATTTTATAAATAACTAAAAATGATACCAAAATAATATTTATTTAAAACAATTTAACTTTATAAAAGAAAACAAGGAAATAAAGAGACGTGTGTTGTGTTTCACTGCAGCGGCGGCACAACAACACGGACGCTCACTTACAATTTAACTTATTCGCATTTTAAACTTGTTCTTATACTCACTTTGACCTTATTGCTTAAGAAATAAGGTATATTTTTGTGATGACTTAATACCAACAAGTGATTAATTAATTTTGTATAAATATATGTCAGTCACTACGATTACTGTTAATACGTATTCTATGTGTAATCGTGTATCTGTTGGTTATTACCATTGCAAAAACTAATCTTTTGTAGTTGGAATAAGGTGTAATTTAGGTTGTTCCGTCAGTGGTAAGGTGAAAAAGAAAGTTTTTTTGTCTAGGATTTAGGTAAAATGAAAATTGTTGCAAGTGATTTTTGTCCTTGCAAGTAAACATATGTATATACTTAAGGCCAGAACATTTTTGTACTGTCGACTGACTACAGAACGACAGACATTTGCGTTTCACACATTTTTTATCTTTCTGGGAAATCCGCGGCCATCATTATAAGATAGAAATCTTCGCCTCGCTGCCACCACTTCCTCCTTCATACAACGAATATTTTATAGCAATTTTTATATAATATATTATAGTTAGGCCAATAAATGTCCTAATTTCGAACATTTGATGCAACAAAGTTAGTTATTAAAACTAGTATAAACTGAAACAGTAAAGAACAGAAAAAATCTAAAAAGCCGTGTGTCACTTAGAAAATCTTACTTATTACAACTATTATAAATGCGAATGTTTAGATTCATAGAAGGATGGATGGATGGATGGATGGATGAATGTTTGTTTGTTTGAAGGTATCTCGAAATTTAGCATAGACGTAGAACATAATCTGGAAGAACACATAGGCTACGTATTAGGTTTTTTTTTAATTCAGCGCGGACGGAGTGGGACAGTTATTAATAGGATAAAAATTGGTATTACGTATTATGTCATATTCTTTAAAATTACTTTTAAAGTTGTCAAATTAAGTAATCCTCGAAACTTAATTGTATTAGGTATTTTATTTTACAATAGCGGCGATTGCTCATAAAAAATGTGATAGATTTATTATGTGACTGTTATTTGTATGTTCTGCATGCATTGTTTTAAAAATATTAAGTAAGTTCCTTGTATCTTTTTGTTTTATTAATGGTATTAATAACTCATGTGCTTTTTATACGGAACTAACATTTTTTGTTATCACACGATGACCTCAGCCCGCCGCCTTCACCAGCTCTGTGCTGTGCACACACAACACAATCACGCACAACATTACATATTACATATATGAGGTACTCACATTAATTACAGTCAACGTTTGATACCTACATATGTAGCGTGCCCTTACAACTTTACAACATCAAGGATGTGTCAAAGTTTACTTGTCATAAATGTTTTATAGTGGCCGGGCAAAGTCCAGTCGTCATGGAGTTCAAAGTCCAAAATTTCGTAATCGATATACAAATCAAAAAGTGATTTATCATCAAGACTTGTTATCAGCGGCCGGCGCGGCCCTCGCGCTCTAGCGCACTCGTGCCAGAGCGCGGACGCGGAAAGGCACACACTGTGTGAGCACTGCAAATTGAATTCAAGACATTTAAATAAACGCTTCACGTAATGACCATGTGATACGTAAAACGTACAATTTATATTTATTTTTCACTTGTTTTAGTGTGAATATTATGAAGAGTGCGTGTCATTTGTGTCATGAAATTAAATATATTTCGTGCGCTTATATCGTGACAAGACATTTATCGTGAGTAGTGCGTGCAGTGTGCGGGGTGCGGGTCTGCGGTGTGCGACGTGCGGTGTTCAGCGTGCGGTGTGCGGCTTCCGGTGGTAGAAGCGGCCGGCAGGCAGGTGAGGGGCAATGAGGCGGCAGTGGTTGGTGCTGTGGTCGCTGTGGGCAGCGCGTCTTGTGCCGCAGCACACGCCCGAGGTGAAGGTGAGCGGCGGCCTGCTGCGGGGTGTCGTGGCGCCGGACGGCTCGCACCGACAGTATCTCTCCATACCCTATGCCACCGTCGGCCCACATAATAGATTTCAGGTGACTAACAAATTCTTTGTGTTTTCTTGAAAACCTAACTTAAATTAACTTCAAATGACTTGACTACGACGGTATACTTCGCTCCCTTGCAGGCCGCCGATCCTGAGCCGACGTGGAATGGAGTTTTCGATGCAGTAAACGAGAACGTGCGATGTCCACAGCGGAAAGGCAAATCATTTGTGACCGGGCAAGAAAACTGCCTCACGCTTAACGTGTTCACTCCGCTGGAGGCGGGTCAGGCAGGGGAGTCGCTGCCTGTAATGGTGTTCATCCACGGCGGCGGCTTCTACGACGGCTCCAGTTCCAGGCACGTGTACGGTCCGCAGTATCTCGTCACCAAGGGAGTTATACTTGTCACTATCAACTACAGATTGAACCTGCAGGGCTTCGCGTGCCTAAGGATTAAGGAAGCCCCGGGCAATGCGGGTTTGAAGGATCAAGTGGCGGCCTTGAAGTGGATACAAAGAAATATCGGAGCGTTCGGCGGTGACGCGGACAACGTGACAATATTCGGCGAAAGCGCAGGCGCGTCGTCCGTGTCCTACCATGTGGTGTCACCCATGTCCGCGGGCCTCTTCCATAAGGCCATCCTGCAGAGCGGCTCCTCGCTGGCGCCGTGGGCCATACAATACCGCCCCATCTATACGGCTAGCCTAATGGCCAAAGTGATGGGCTACAAGACAGAAGATCCTCGAGAAATTTATGATATATTTCACAATAAATCAGACGCGGAACTCATAGTCACCAGAGTACCGCGCCTGGAAGGAAACGTAATTCTCTCTGAATGTCTGTACGTGCCTTGCGTCGAAGACAGGATAGAGGGCGTTGAGCCTTTCCTGATAGAGTACCCGTACGACATGTACAGGAGGGGCCATTACAATAAAGTGCCGATGATCATCGGCTTTAACTCCGAGGAGGGGTACTTGTTTGCGGGTATGGAAAACGATACGACGATACCGAAGATAAAAATCGAGAAATCATTCCCCAAAGACCTGACGTTCCCCACGGAGGAGGAGAGGAGACGGGTGGCGGAGCACTTACATAGAATGTACTTCGGAGACGAGGGAATATCTCAGGAGACTTTGCTGCAACTTGCAAAGTTCCAGGGCGAGGCTTATTTCGTTAACGCGGTTATTGAGGAAACTGAGTATTTACTAGAGACGAACGACAAGCCGGTTTACAGTTACATATTCGGGTACGGTGGGAACCGAAATTTGGCGAAGATTTTTTCTGGGGAACCATACCGGAGCGCGCCGGGCGCGTCTCATGCCGACGACCTGTTCTATTTGTTTAGTCAAGGCGTGCTACCCGCGCTGTTTGAGAACAAAATGATCGATACTATGACGACGTTGTGGACTAACTTCGCCAAGTTTGGGTGAGCAAATAATTTGACGAATTGTTTTTTACTGAGCCAAGTCCCTTTATGAATGAGTGTTTTGTTGCAGAGAGCCGACGCCGATGCCACTGCCGGCGGGCGCGGGCAGCACGGAGGAGCTGCGCTGGTCGGCGGCCGACGGCTCAGAGCCCCGGGCGCTGCTCATTTCCGAGGAACTCCGCATGACGCCGCTGCGCTACACGGAAACACTCAAGTTCTGGAAAACTGTTTATAGCAAATATAGAAGAAAAAAACCTTTAAACGCTTAGTTAAATCTCTTTTAATTGTAGTAATTTAATAAACTAAACGATAGCTGCAGCAACTACCGGTATATAGGATAAATGTGTTTTTATACTTGATGTTTCATTGATAGAATTAATAAGTGTATTCATTTGTTTCTGTGATTTTGCGCTGCTTCTGTATGTAATTATTTAACTTAAATCCTTTTAATCTTATTAAGTCTGCTTTAAGTATAATATATACGGTTTTACAATGTTGCAAAAAGTTAGGTAATTTTATTTAGGAAGTTTTTGTTGGCTGTGCTTTTGCAGATTTATTTGTTTTTGTATTGAGTTTTGAATAGTTATGTATTTGTATATTATATACTTATGTCTCATATTGTTTTGTAAATCCACAAACTAACCTAACTTCAATCTGAGGTTGCTTAGCGCTAGAGGGCTGGGGAGAGTTGGTGACAGTTTTTTTTTAATTTTAAAAACATCTGTTTAGAAAGTCACTTTCATGACTTCATGTTTTAACTTTGATCCGACTGAGCAAGTCATCAGAAAAAATAAAAGAAACGCAAAAATTATTATATATTATTGTTGTTTCCTTTTGTAATAAATATTTTGTAAATATGTTGAACGATTGTATACATTTCATTATTTTTCCAAGCGATTTTTTTAACAATACCTTAAAAAAATTACAGAAGCTACAAATATGTGTTATCGCGTCTAAGTTATGCTTAAACCAAATGTTCTCAATAGACATAACACATGAACACTCTTACGTGTGAAAATGACAACATATTTTGAGGAAAAAAGTTTATCAGAAAGTAAGCTACGGCCCAAATACAAAGTGTTTTTTCTGTGAGGGATTAAATCGGTCCAAGGAAGCCGATATTGGCCTTAAACCGTTCCTCTAAAATCGTTCCATTCATTCGGGAACCAAATTTCCGGTATTTGCCGAAACTAAGCCGCTTACCGACCTCTCCTTATTAACTCTCCGGGTGAATGGGAGCGGCGACCGAGTGAACGAAAGCGGCTGAATGAATGGTCGCTAATCTTGCACCCCGCCGCTCCCCGCCGCTCCCCGCCATCACCCGCCGGACGATCGGTTTCTGGGCTAAGCTGTCCGGTAAATAGTGATTGTTTCGTGGGTACGTTATTAACTATCAGGATATTGTTTTCATTATTATTGAAAGAAATATCCCAGCGATAAAATATCTACATGTGAGGATAGTAATAGCCTATATAACTAAATACATAAAATTAATACATCTAACTTCTACAGTTTTGTACTTATTATTTTAAACATTACGTTGCTGAGAGCACAATAGTAGCGAGGACACAAACAGTAGTCGATATTTAAACGCAATGTAAATACATAGTTACTTCTTGTTTTATAAAATCTATGTAAGTACTTGATAATTACATATTTTTACTTTTTGATACACAGTATTTATTGTAAGTTGATAATTAAAAAAAATGTTTGCGTGTTGTCGATTCTATTGTTCGATGAGAAAACACAGCTATGTGTTTCGTATTGGTTTACAGATTCGCGGATAGATGGAGCTTGAATGAAGATACTAAGAAGTTTGCTGGAAAATAATTTATAGAAAAAAAAATCCTGTAAAGAATTAACTTTAATTTTTTTCATATTTTTATAACATTTTGAAAAATTTACAACAGTTAGGGTGGCACTATATATCTATAATATATATACATCTCTTCATTCATGATATCACTAGAACTGTGGCCTGAATGGCCTTAACTTTTAAATCCAAACATTTTCAATATCCGTAAAGACGACAAAAACTATATAAAAACTGTTGACTGTGGAAGTGCGCTATATTCAAGAGTAAAAAATTAAAATGATCCGCACTTTCAATAAAGATTAACAATATAGTCGCATAAAAGCCGTCGAAATGCGACGAAAAATCCTTAAAACGCCGTAAATCCAAGCGCGGAATATCCCGTAAGCTGTGCCTCACTCTGTTTACCATAAGCCGGTGTTATCGGCCGCCCTCACAACGCCCGCCGCCGCCGCCGCCGCCTCACTCTGCGCGCGTTTAGCAGAGCTATGCGCGTTGAAATATTTTGGCCACCCTCATAACTGTCGCATTTTCTTTGAAATGAGTACTCTGATGACATGGCGGTCAGGGTAAGGACATCATCATAGATTTGCTTAACTGCGGGAGCTATCGGCCATTACCCCATCGCCTCGCTAATGCGGCGGCGGACCGCAGCTGAACATTAATAGTTTAAAGCCGAGATGAATGGTCGGGTCGAGACTCAACCCGCCCCCGACAATAAACTAAAAACTGCCCTCTGGATTTATCAACCGACAATAACCTAAGCGACCGCCAACAAATCTGACCAAAGGGTAGCATTGACCGCCGCCTAATCGCACGCCGACGCGCACGCCACACGCACCAGCGTAAACGCGGTCTAACAGATATAATTCTGTACTTAAAGGCAGCATGCTTAAAAATTGCACTAACACATAATAAACTAGACATTTTACATTCCAATATATTGAAGAAGTTAATAATTCCGCAATTTATTATTAGAGCATGCAGTAGAGTTCTAATAACGATGAGTTGTGGACTGATAATGATAATGTCGATTACTGTTTAGATAACATCAGGATGCAAGATTGTAGTTATGAAAACTAGCAAACGTCATCATTACACTTGTACCAAAGGCCAATGCGAGGAGGGCACGTGCAGAAATATCCCTCGTTCAACCCGCATTAGTCACCTTATCTACCTGCGGGTAATGCGCCGCCGGACAATAAATATTACAATATGATACCCGGTGGTAAGTTGCGACTCTGCCGATATGCCTCCGGAGAGTAATGCGGGGTCGCAGAGCTGGATATCTGCGCACCCACCGCTTATGTTCTCCCAAATGGTAAGGGTGTAAGAATTGTCGAATTTGATAAAATTATTCTTGGCTGTAAATATTGATAGCGCCTGGACAAAATAATAGCACATTTAAAACAAAAAAAAATTGCTATTACTAAAATTCAGATTTTTTGTAATGAATTTGACAAGCTTTTTTTTAATAAATTCCTCTGAATTTTATGCACTAAGTTTGAACATACCCTTGAACTAAAAATCGCTTTGACGTCAGCCATGTTACATGCACATATGTAAAGTGCAACGTCTTTGTTTACCAATTCCAATATTAAGACTTCGAAGAATTTATAATGTTTAAAGGCAATACTTAATAGCTAATTAGATATAAAAAGAATCTGAAAGCGATAACGATGTGTTCATAAGAGGCAACTTACCTATTTAAGTGGAGGTTAGGTCACTCATTGGGGTTAGATCCCTAATTTGGTGACCTCAAGGAAATCCAATCGCTCCAGACGGAGGGGTCAGTGGCCTGACTGTTTCACAAACCTCTCCGAGGAATTGGAATTCCCGGGAGTATATGAAAGTGCGAATAACTTTGTGACCGCGCGGCCATTATAAATTCGTGAACCTTTCGATTAGAATGTTGATAAAGGAAGATTTATTTAACTGGAATTTAAGAGTATAATCCATATTATTTGTATTGTAATTTTTATTCGCAGTATTAGTTAATGTGATATTTTCTAAACACTTTTTTATTTCGTTTTTGTTGGAATTTGTTTATGTCTCTAAAATGTATCAGATAAATGCAAGATTTATCTGATTGTCACAAATATAACTACAACTTATAGACAATATAATTAAACTATATATACTAAGAATGCAGTTATTGTAATGCGATTTTGTACGAGAATTTTGTTTTCACATAGAATTTTAAGGTATTAATAGTGTACGTATAAAATGCACAACAATAACTAGGACAAATTGTTTTTGTTTTTTTACGAGGTCGGCTCTTCTATTGCATACTAAAACATTTTCTTTTAACTGTATAAAAATAGGTATAAGTAAGAACAATCGCCTACTAGTCTGGTCCTGGCGCATTCGGGACCTCAGGTCACCGGCTTCGCCAATGCTGAGAAATCGTAAACGTCGTCGACATTCTAAGAATTGTTCCGATTTCTTTGTTTTCGGTCTATGTTTACATGTAAAACTTTCTAGACAATTCTTTGTTTCCTTGAAATAGGTTTTATAGTCATAAAAACGTGTTATTAATTCACTAATGAGACCACTAATGAGAGAGAGAGTTTAGCAATATGCAGTTAAAAGGCAGTGTGTCAGTGGGTCAAGATCTTTTCTATCGTCCGCCGTCAGTCGGTACAATGGCCACACATCAATGTCGCTTAGCTGAGGTGGGGCTTTATATGTTAACAAGCCACAACTACTGTGACACTGTGATGTTGGATGGAATCAGTTCAGTTGAAGATATAACAGCAAGCAAAAAGATGTGTACGTTATATTAATTGCTTCACAGATAAGTTGGACGTATCGCTTCACTCTCATAGTGTCAGAGCGACGGGGGATCGGAAATCAGTTCTTGAAACGTATCAGAAATCAAACTGTGCGGAGATGTGGGAGAGGGGGACAATGGGGGGGGGAGAGTATGTCAGTAGACTCACAGTAACGTGTATTGACAGATAAAGATGTTGAGAACTCTCTTGTATTAGTAACAGATTAACTGTTGTACTAAACAATCCTATGAACTTCATTTATTAATAACAAATTAAGTTCATTGAATTAGTATGCAGAAAATTATACTAGATTGTTATTTGGATGATATTGTTAGTTTTGTACGTCAGTATTAGATTATTTGCAGCCAATAACCGGAAGAGACTCAATATATTGACCTTCGTGATAACAAATGTTGTGCAATAAGTCATTGGACTAGCAACTTTATCGCATTTACTTTTATCGATGATTGTAGAATTAAGAAAAAATCGCACGATGTCTTGATTCAATAAATGCCATGTTTCTGTACAAATTGATCAATGGCTACACTGACGATTCTTACTTAATATCAAAATTATCCATCTCTGTACCTTCCAGACTACCCAGATATAAAAAATATAACCCGTTTGTTACTAAGGCAGCTCGTACGAACTTACGCCTTCATTCACCGATTAACAGATTGATGAATACATATAATGCTATGCATAACTCTTATGATGTAGAAAATCCTAAGAATCCTCCATACAGCGAGAAATAATGCGCCCTTAATCGACATTTTCTCCAATAAAATATCTTCTTTTAAAAAATATATCCGCAATGTTGCTAATTAATTTAATTCATGTCCTCTTTCTTTCCTTTGTTATCTTTTTTATTTTTTGTTGTTTTCACTCTAAAAAATTTCAGTATTTTTTGTTTATGTATAAGGTTTTTGTGTTGTTTGTTTGTTTCATCATTAGTCTCGCATGATGTGTACACCTTTAATTGTGATAAGTTATTATGTGTTTTCTGTTTCTGTAATAAGTATTTTTTTCGCATGTCTTATAACTTAACCGTTGGTGTATCATAAATAAAAGACTATAATGTACGAGTACACTGCACAGATCACAGAAAGTTAGTACTTATTTTGTGGTGTAGGTGAATTGATTAGTTGTTATTAATTTTTGAAGAGATGATAAAGTGACAAAATATTGATAACTCGTTCAGAAATGAAATT